TAGTGCCTAATGTCAAAGAGCTCTATAATAGATTTGATGAAGTTGGATATCTCTTCAATGTAAACTTTAAGAGTAAGTGGAATCAACTTTAAATCTAACAAAACAATAAGTCAAAGATGATTTACATGACATATTGTGGATCCAACAAGTTAACAATGATGAAATTCAACCTTACCAATGCACTTGTCACATTCTTTAGGTTGATGAATGTGATTTTCTAAGAATTCTTTGACAACTTTGTTGCAGTCTACTTAAATATATTTTGGTCTATAACTTCAACTTATATACACATGAAACACACCTTGAAGTTTTGAAGAAGTTGAGAAAAAATCACATCTCCATCAACTTGGCCAAATGTGAGTTTGCATTAGAGGAAGTGATGCTCCTTAACCGTGTCATGTAAATGAATTAAACTAAGATCTAAGTCATCAAATAGTGGTCAGAATCCACTCACATCTTAAAGCTCAAGTCATTCCTCAATTTAGATAGCTATTATAAGGTCATCATAGGCTACTTTAGGTTGATGGCACCCTTAACAAATCTCTTGAAAAGGAAGATAGTTAAGAATAGTATGCAAAGTACAATAGACATTGTTCATGCCCATGAACATTAACCTTGTCAACATGTGTCTACCTATATTATGTCAATTGCCTTTTTCAGTGTCGATAATTATTATGTATGTCATGCACACTCTTGTTTCAATTATTATAAGGTGAGTCGATAATTTCAGTGTCGATAATTATTATAAGGTGAGTGCCTTCTACTCACTTTTATCAAATGTGGTGAACTTGAATGACAACTTGTCATTTGGTTTTAGAAGTATAATGAGAAAGGTTTCTTATTTTTGAACTTGTTTTTGAGCTCTAAAATCCATAATAATATAAGTCATCTTAAGACCTCTTGAATTCTAAAAATGAAACATGGGCTCAACCTACATATAAATAGTAGACTATGCAACTAAGGAAAAAAACTTTATGAATGCACACATAACTTTATATCTATGATGATATCAAAATCATCTATTTATAAAATCATGTCCTAAAACACATTCTTATGCTCCAACCTTTAGTGAGGTCCCACATACGACATTAGTAGGGTTATGCACCATTAAACTTACAGCCTTAACATAACTATCTCTCTATAACAATGCAAGGCCTTACTAGGATACTTCACTCTTTGAGAAGAAATTGTAGATGGCTTTACTATTGACTGTTGTAAGCATGGATTAATTATTGATGCTGGCCTCAACATGGATCTACTTGACCTTGTCAATTCATCTAATCTTGACATATTGCTACAACACATATAATTTCCAAAGAATTCATAGTAAGTACATCTACTAATAACTCTTGCATCATTAAAACATTGCCAATCATTTTCTACAAATACTTTATTTGTAAGTTGTGGCCTCCACACATGAAGCAACCACTCTTCATAGCCTAACCTTGAGGTATTATTGCAAACAATTTAATACTCCCTAACCCTTGGTGGAACTCTCGCCTTGATGGCCCTAACATTTAAACTTGTCATCTCTTGACGTGAACTAAGGCCTTAACTATTATTGTAGACATCTTCATATCTTGATCTCTATCTACACATGTGGTAGCAACCCACCCATGAAATTAAATAATATATCCTTTTCAAAAGAAGTAATGAGAATTTCTTCTCATATTCTTGTATTGTCTTTATATATTGAAATCACTTAAAGGACTTCTACACAACTTATGTAGTTGGTGGGTTGGAATTGATCCCTTAACTTTTGGATAAACTTTTTCAAGAGTTAATTGAAGAATGCAATAAATCCTCCATCATTGTCATCCACTAAAGCTTCATGTTGCTTGCCAAGTACATATTAACTAAGATGACCTTCTCCCATATAAGTGTGAGACTTGCCCAAAAGTATTAGGTTATATCTCACAAGAAGTTCTAAAACTTGTAGGTGTTGTGGGCCTTTGTATAGGCCTCAAGTTTTGGCACCTTTCATCACACACTACTGCCTCCCTAAAATATTATTAGCACAAGATAATTTATCATCACCATGTCAATGAGGAGGCCTCGAATCATCTCTGGCAACTCATTGACCTCAACATCATTAGTTTAAGTTATATTGGAGTGAGTGACTATTTATGTCATGGTAACCTATATGTCCTCTATCTACTCTTTCAAGATATAGATATAGTTGTTGTCACCCAACATCATGTTGACTAAAAAGAAGAGCTTACTCTTCATGTAACAAATCCTCAATCTTTGAGATCCACCTACAAAAACCATATTATCCAATTTACTTTATCTTGATATAAGTAAATCCTATATTATGATACCAACTATCATAAGGTTGGTTGGTTGTCCTCTAAGAAGCACGATGATGTTCTAGTAAAAAGACATTTAGTAATATACTTAAATAACTTTATTTTCCTTTTATACTTCTGATTAAGGAATAAAATGTCATCCTTTTGATCTAGATAGCTTCTACATGATCTCTCATGAGTTAAGGTGATGAGATTATTGTGGTATGCTGCTCAGCATCTATTCTTATTATTTTTGTTGCATAATATAGTTTGAATTGACATAGAAAATAATTAAGACAAGTTACAATGACTTTGTAGTACAAGTCACAAGTTATCATTCATATCACAATTTTGTTTATGAATTTTGTGAAATATCTTAACATTTGATAGGTAATAGCTTTATTCATTAGTCCAATATTTCATATCTTGAGAAGATGTTGACTTAGGTATACTTGTTGGATTTGATGGTCACCACCTTTAGCTCAATCTTTAAGTAGTATTTCTTGACTATAAGGCTGTAATGATTGAAGATCATGAGGTTTATCAAACATGTACTTATATTTGCATAAACTTCAAGAAATTAATTTATTAATCTTCCTTCCTCTTGTTATTAAGAATTATCTTGATAATTGTGACCAAGTGTCCAGCTCCCCTATATTCTTTTCCCACATGTTAACTCTTTGACACTTTCACCTCATGCTGTGAAAATATTGATGTTTTCCATGTAGATTGAGCTTCATTCAAGTCTAAGGCACTTTCCCCTAATTTTCTTAAGAAATATACTCTCATGGCCAACATGTAAATGTCTTCTCTCCCCACTACACTTCCAACACTTGAAAAACTACCACGATATCTTTACATGCTACATGGCACCTTCATAATGGCCCTCTTACTATAATAGTTCAAATATTTCAAATCTAAGTGCATAACTCTACCTTGGTATCAACAAACTTACATGTCCTATCTGAATTTATCATAAGATTTTTTTTTTTTCTGTGGAGACAATCTTCTCCTTCAATAAGTCCAACAGTTCAGGAATTAGGAGACCTTCATATGAAAATCTGGGTTGATGGCTCTTCTTTGTTGGCTTCATTTCTACCGCCTCCATCAATTCACTTCTCTTTCTCATACCGATCCCAAAGGTTGCACCTTGGTTTCACACGTGTGATGGACACCACTTCTGATTAACACACAAACAACACTCTCTTTTCTCCTTTATTCTAGGGCAAGAAAACCCTCTTGTTCATTTTTAAGTTTATTCCTCATTTGACTGTCGGTGCCAAAATGAGCCCTTTACTAGCCTCCATCTTCCTTGGTTCCTCAGACACATGGAGCTTCTACTCCTACAACAATGACTTATAGATTGTGGGGTTGACATACCTTCCCAGCAGGTAATATCTCCACCTAAAGCCACTCATCAAACATTAAGTTAGGCACTATCTAGGAAGTCATAAAAACCTGACAAGAGAGTATGCCATATTTGGTTTGCTAATCAATGAGATAACTAGGCCACTTTAGCTCAAGATGTTGGTTGACTTGACTTCTATTTTTCAGGCACCAGCAATGGCATCTTAGAGCATCATCTTGGAGTTGATTGTTGTCATTCTCTTGTCAAGTCATTTGCCAAAATATTAGAAAAATAAATTGTTCCACATAATATGGAAATGAATGATCTAGTGTTGAGATAATAGATAATGATAAAATAAAACGAAAATGAAATAAGAATCATATTTGAATCCGTGAAAGCTCAAGAATAGGGTTGACTTTTTAGATCAGCACAAATTTGTCATCCAATGACTTCCTCAAAAAGATATGAATGCTCAAAAAATGACTTTAGAAATGTGACCCAAAGATTATGACCCCTTATCTATAAATAAGAGGTGGCTAGCCTCTTGATGTTATTTTTCAATTTAGCTCATGATAAAATTAGAAGAAGACTTGATCTCCACATAATTTATATTTATACTCATTCTTATAAGAAATAATATAATCTTGAATATCTAAACTTTAATGAATCACTTTAAATATGATTTAACTCAATGATAACCTTATAATATATAATTTATGTATAACTATCTATATTTAGATTAATTTTAACATAATTAATTAGACCATCATGAAGAGAATACATAACTTACATTATTTTGCAAACATACACAAAAAAATACTCTTGAGAAGACTCTTTTTAATCTTCAAATAACTAAACCTTACAATCACCATTTCCTACTAATCTAGTCCACTACTGATTAGGACAAGGTTTTAGCCATCGCCTACCTTCATACCTCCACCATGGCAAGGATCAGTGGCTGCGACGCCGATTTGGTAGACTCGTCGTCTCTGCGATGCCACCCGTGCCCGGATCTTGAGGTTGAAACAGCTGTTAGAGGTAAGAAGCAAAGAATGCCCCTGCTGACCAGAAGGAAAATGTCAAGCTTCTTTCCCAAGCTTACAAAAAGGAACAGGCAGCGGATGGAACTCAAACAGGAGAAAGCAGAGGTACATAAGAGTTCAGACCTAAACATCCATCCCAAGCTTTCAAGTTCTCTGCCAGAGGGAAGGAAGGGAGGGGAGGAGAAATTCTGCTTATAAGAAAAGGGTAGGGTTAGAGCTTCGGATCAATTAGCGGGTCCTTCTTCTTCTTCTGAAATTCGTGGGAACATCCCCTTCTTTTCTTGGGGTGAGGGATTCAGACCAATGGTGGCGTCACCGTCAATGGCGGGTTCCCTGCGCTCGTGCTCCCCGTCTCCGGGCTCTACGAGGCCTTCTCTCCGGCCGCTGCTGCGCCTGGTCTCCCCGCGTTCGTTCCTCTCTGCGCGGCCTCTCTCGCCGAGTAGTGTCAGTTATTTGGGCAGCCACGTTCAGTTCGGCAGGTTGCCCTCCCGTCGAGGTTTCTCTGCGGTTGCTTCTGTTCCAGTCTCCGCTGACGGTACATCACCAGTTTTGATCGTGGAGGACGACAAGTATGCGAGGAAACGAGTGATCAGGCTCACGCCTGCCCTGTACAGCTACCTCATGGCCAACGTCCGCGAACAGCCGGTACGCTACCCCGACGGCCGCAGTTTCTTTCTCCGTTTGTACGTTATTGCTTGCTGTGTGCGCATCTTCATTCCTTATGTTTACTGTTGCGCAACTTCTATCTTCGTCTTTGGCCGGTAATCATCTGAGGATTTGGGAGTCGTCTTCAGATTCTTCGGGAGCTCAGGGAAGAGACCGCGACGATGCATGGGAGCCAGATGCAGGTAGGTAGAATTTTATTTATCTTTTTTCTTCTTCGTGGTGAAGTAGTTGTGGCGCTTTGATTCTTCATGCGTATTCTTGTTGATGCATACATTGTGGAAGTATACTTCCCCACAGTTGCGAAGGCGTGTACGGTTGTAACCGCTGGCATTGATCATTGACGCCGCCATAAGTATCAGCCTGCATCTTTGCCTCCCATCTATCCCATTTGTTAGCCCGAGTAATTGGTTGAATCCCATACCCAAGGGTTGTAAAATGTGAAAGAAGGTGGTTTGTGAGAGAGTGTTATTGTGGCAGTTGTGAAGGCCTGGTAGGTGGATGTGAACAAGAGGGAAGGGGGGACATTAAATAAGATTCTGATGTATGTCCAGCCTCCTTCATAGATTTTGATTAGCTGTCAAATGGGGTTTTGAACTACCAAATCCAGTTTTTAAGAATGAACTGGATTGTAAAATCAGGAATTTGGTATCCATTCAAGGCTCTTTCTATAAATTTTCCGGTTCATCTTCCCTAGTTTCATCACCATTTCTATTTTTTTTCTCCATACGCATCACTGCCTGCGGCATGCCAGAAACTTCTATAATCACTTCGAATTTTGGAAAACCAGGTGAAGTTTTTATGGGTTCATTATCTAGAACAGATGCTGAGAAAAATAACAACATGCCAGTGCTTTTGTCCTGGGATGGCCATAGCATTTGTACTCTGATCTAGTGTCTGGTCTCCCTTTGATGGTCACCCTACACTGGGGTCTCACCTTTGATGACTATCCTACACTGTCGGGGGTAACATCAGGGATACCAACTATGACCTTTCTTTGCCACCAGACTTTCTCTTATGATTTTTCTAATGACAGAGATTGAGTAGCCTTTTGGGTGTTTAATTTAGAGGAGAAGATGGAGATCCTCTACAGTGTAGTCCTGAGATAGAGGCTTCTGGATCGCTGTTGGATGAGTTGCTTGCAATCTGGGGGGAGGACCCTGTGAGTGGTGGCTGAGTTACTGCATGGAGCCTACATTTTTGGCCTAGTAGTTGTTTAAATTATGAGTACACAAGAACCAGTTTGAACCCAACCTATGAAAGTCCAACGTAGTATGCATAAATTTTTGTTAATTGGTTTGATTTCCCTATTGATTTTACTTGGTATAATTCCTCAAATGGTTATCTTGTGTCCACATGTGAGTGTATTTGAACCCTAAATTTTCTTTTGGCAACTTTTAGGTCTTGACTCTCCTGGGCGCATGAATGTTGGAGTTTTTTTCTGCTTGCACCTGGGCACAAATCACTGAAAACTCCCATCCATCATTCTTCTATTCACCTCTTTCATAAATTCAAAGAGGTCAACAATGTCTTCGGGCATGTACACATTTTGGACATCTAATTGCCATCTTGAATGCATTGCTTTGTTATAATTCAATATTCTTTTTCCTTTGGTGCGGATCTTGTTAGCCGTTCTATTCCTGTCCGAGCAAGGGATACTGAGTAATGGGGGTTCCCATGACAAGATCAGTATCATTTATTCAAATCATGACACCTGTGGACACTTGCATTTTGTCTTCCATCTTTCTTGTAGAAACTGAACCTCCAGAATCGAAATATGCTAGTGGTTTCTTCCTATCCTACTGCAGATGAGATTAGAATTTCTAGTGTCTTCGTTTGAGGAGGTTCTGCTTATGGTCAGTGCTATTAATTTCAGTAGATGACTCAATATCTTGGCCATAACTCAAACTGGGGCTGGCAATGGTTCCTTTTTTCCCATTTATGCCTACAACCAACTGTTTCTAGCCCAAACCATGATGCACTGAGATATGCATGCTGGGCCCATCAGTTATATCAAAATACATACGACGGTATTTAGCATTATAAAATATGAAAATTTTAAAGAAAACAAAAATTATGTTTCTTGGACAGTTTGTAATAGTTTTTGAATGTTCTACTCGCTGAGAAAAGCTTCAATTAATTATTTTTGGATCACTGTTTTTTCCTGTTGGGAGTAATTTTATTTATTTATTTTAAAATCTGCTGACTTCATATCATGCAACATACTATCACCTGTTGTAGTCAAGTCTGATCCATTCAGTTCAGATTATTGTATTCCTGGGTCATATCTTGACAGTTTCTACCTACTTTCTTGCCATTCTGATTGCCGTTCCGCCTGTTTGATCGGCACATCTGGGAAGGAGGTATCTGGTTGCATTGGTTGCACTTGTTTAGTCATGTCTCCAATCCCGTTTACCAAGCATTTGATAGAGGAGCTCTTATTGCCTTGTGGTTCCTTCTCCCGTCCAACTCTTTGAATTCATTCCACTTAGGTTATTGTTTTCAATAGCTACAATTGTATACCTTGAAAATTTCTTTCATATTTTCTCTCTAAGATTTCTCCATAGTTTTTGGGATTTAAGTCTTCTTAAGTTGATTTGTACATAATCGATATTTTAAAATCATGGATGTAATCATCAGATACGTTTTCCAACTTGAGCTTTCTTCATCCAACTTTTTTTGTAGGTGTCCCCGGATGAGGCACAACTTCTCTCAATGCTTGTTCAGATTCTTGGAGCCCAACAGTGTATTGAAGTTGGTGTTTATACTGTATGTAGTCATCCATCCTCCCATATCTCTCCTTTTCTAAATGTAAAATGTGAAAAATTATATCTTGTATTACTTTGGATTTATGTTTGAATGTATTTTTTTCATAAAAAATTCTCCTGAATGTCTTCATAATTTAATAGTGGCATTTTCTCTAGGTAGTTCTTGAATCACAATTTTTTTTTTTTCATGATCAGCACTTCTGGTAGTCTTAGGAAAGTAGTAGCTAACTGGACAAGGAGTTATGATAGGTGTAGTTCCACTGGTCATTGGTGATTTTTTTTTCTTTTGTGGTGGTGGCCTTGTCACATAACTCTAATGGGGAGAGATTTCGGACACCATACATATGAGGTTGTTGTCAGCACGAATGCTCCATTTTGGGGCTATATAGTTCAACTGTGGGGATCTGTGCTGTGCTATTGATGATTAATAAACCTGTTGCAGCTTCCCAAACTCAGGTATAGCGTGGCTGGCTTCAAGTGATTTTTGTGTGTTTCTATTCATGGCCAACTATCGAGAGGAATCTTGGCCAAAAGTATGTGTCAGAACGTTGCTAGAAAATGTATGATACTTGTAATCCGTCTCTTTGTGCGAAAACTGTGTCCCTAATTGGGTTTGATCAGATGAAGTAGCATAGAACGCTGAGATGTTCTGATGGGTTTGATCAGATGAAGTCTGTACCAAATCGCAAGCACCAATTTTGAGTTCAACCTTGAGGATTTTATTACCAGCATTTCTAACATTCATCTGAATCTTTTTATAGGTTTCTGTCATGTTGAAATGAATGATCTCTGCCCACATATTTTGTGGTCTGGCCATCCAATCTTCACTTATCTGTGCACTTTTATCCCGAATCGCATTATGAGGGGTCTTCCACTTTTCTTAATCATGGAACTTTCTTTTGTAATTGTAGTCGAGATAACACACTGTCTGGAGCTCTGATAGGCGCCCAGCACTCGTGGAAGAAGGACTCTAACTTTATTGATCAAAAAACTGTTTACAAGGAGAGCGGGATCTAGTATTTATACCAGATTCCTAGAAGGTTCTAGACACACTGATGTAACACGAAATGAAAGGTACATGAGGACATATATGTAAACTTGTGAGGTATACATGTTATTGAGTACATCTCGACAACAGTAATAAATATAATCTTTGATCACTCTTCAGGCAATCTTGAATGATATGACCAACAGGGGATACATAGAATTGTTTCTGCTGTAGGAAAAATGCAGACACTTTTAATCAGATGCACTCCTTTTTTCTCGCCTTGAAGAAGAGAAGAGACAGTTACTGTCCATTCCTTTTATCCATTTTGTGGGATAAAGGATGGATGAAAAAAAAAAGTCCATTCAAAACCTGTTAACGAATTGCCCTCTGTAACTGCATTTAATGAAGGGCCACTTGCAGGGGCTCATAAAAGGGAAGGGATCTGTGACTTACTGTTCTGTTCATATTGATTATCAGATATTTGAGCAGATATTCTCCACTATTTGCTGCATCGTCGATATTGCTTCAAACATGAATTTGCAATCTGATGCTATTGTATTAAGGAAAGCAAGACCATCCTATTTGTCCTGCCACCCGTGGCAGGAAAGAAGAATAATAATGAAAAGAAGGCGAAGGGAAATGGAGACGGCTGCTATCCGTTCTTCTTCTCATCCTTCTATTTGTCCTCATCGTTGTCCTTCCTCTTCTTGTTTACCATGGTTTGGATCTTGTCAGAATCATCTGCTGACCGGTTAATCACATAGATATTGAGAGATGAATCAGCGGCACTGCCTTACAGTTAATGCATATGATGAAATGTTTTTTAGCCTCATACTATGCCAAGAGAACATAAATTCGCGGCATCCTCAAGAGCATAAGTTTTCTGTATTTCTCCCCGTTTTTCTGTGGGGTTCTGTTATTCATAATCAGTGAGACAAAGAACGGGGCAAGTCACTAATATTAGAACTGAAACCACCTTATGACCCATAGGAGGCGATAAAGACGAACCAGGTAGAGGAAGAGAGAAAAACGAGAGACTGACACGCAGGAAAATGCATTTCTATTTGGTTCAGCCATTCCTGCATCCATGGCCAAACAGAGTTCACTACATTGAAGGAGTGAAAGGTTGTGGAGTAACTGACTTGGGTTGGGAAGTCATTGATTCCCATAATCCTGCAGCCCAGCAAGTAAACACCAAACAATATTACCCTCAGGTGGAAACCTGAGATTGTCCATTCTTTCATTAAGCTCTGTCAAATAAAGGTAGTCCGTATGTGCTGTGGCCCATGATCACGGCCTGTGTTCTGTCACTATCTTGGATTGTGCAACGACATTCTCCTGGCCATAATGCAGAGACAAAAGGAGTATCCTCATAGATGAGGAAGACGGAGGAGGTGGCGGTTGATGTGCAACTTAGCTATTGCTTATTTTCTCACATCTAAACTTGAATTCACTAGCTGCCAGTTTTGAGTTAATTTCTTTATTTTTGTGTTTCTCACGGATTATGATATTTACATTCACAATGCTTTCATTCTTGTAGGGGTACTCATCACTAGCCATTGCTTTGATCCTGCCTGAGTCAGGTCGCTTAGTTGCATGTGAAAAAGATGCGAGATGCCTGGAAATTGCGAAAAAATACTATGAGCGTGCCGGTGTCTCTCACAAGGTGATGGCCTTATTTTTATTGGGGGTCTGGCTGGGCATGTTCTTCTACCTTGGGTTCATAGGGTACGGAGTTTAACATCTGTAAGAAAGTGCTCATTCGCTCGAGACTTGAATTTTACCATTTTTGTGGAAAATCTAAGAATAAGGCCAATAAAACCAATATTCCATAGTGCATGTAAATAAATATATACACAATTTTCAAGCGGCATCATATATGGTATCCTTTTTAATTATCTTCTGATGCTATTGGTCTAGGTGGATGTGAGGCACGGAGATGCAGCTGATACTTTAAGAGCCATGATTCAAAATGGGGAATCTTGTAGGTATGTATGTTCAAGGAAAGCATTAATAATTTCACCGCAAATTCTTCCTAACAGAGAAATATCATATTCACCATTGCTTTATGCTGCTCTCCACTCAACTATCATGAGTTTTTGCTTCATATAATGACTTATAGCTGGTAAGCCACTTGGCCCGAGTCATCCCTGTGGTACTTTAGCCACATCTAAGCATGGGTTTTCATGAGAGGAAGGGAGAGGTGAACTACGTAGGATGGAGTTGAGGAATGATGAGAAGATACCCCATGGGAGGAGAGGGGTGCGAAAGGTGGCAGGTGATGATTTGTCTCTTCTTCTCCGCAATTCTTCTTCGTTATTTGTCACTTCTGGGCTCTCTCCCTCGTCTTCCTCTACTATCTGCCTTCTGATAAGTAGAGAGAGGTGAGAAAATGACGTATCATGGGAGAGAGTGAAGGATTGACTAAGAGAGGCGGGGGTAGGCATTGTGGGTTTGGTTGAGGGTGTCTGGTGCAGGATTGGAATGATACATTGATGGAAAGTGAGAGGGTGAGTCATGGTGATCTAGAGATCAGATAGAAGGTATAGCCCACTCAGGAAACTGTATGACTATGACTCAGGCGATAATTGCCGTTGTTGTTGGTCAACGGACTGAAGTTCAGAACACACATTACCATTACCAGCCTTTTTACTGCATTTTATTCCCATTTCAAGTAAAAAATGGTTTAATATTCAATTTCTAGCTGACCTATCTGGTTTCGATCTTGATTGCATCAGATGTGCCCACTCTGATGGCCTGATCTTATTTGGACCACCATGGTTCAGAGGAGAGGAACAAAGCCAGGAATATTTCCTTTAATTTCTCCAAACCATGGACATTATTGGGTGATTTCTCAGGATTTCCAAAGCTTATCATGCAAAAAAGATCTTACTTTTTTTCATATACTACTTTTGCATTTTCTGAATCCTCTGTTGTTTTTAAGATTTTTGTTTTTTCATTCTCTATAACCTGCTCATGATCAATCTCCTGATTGTTTTTTTTTAAAATAACATGGAAATCACCAATATGAATGGATATGATCGTTTATTTTTTAATTTCTTTTTGGGCATTTTCTGTAACTTTCGTATTTTAATTATCTCACTAATTTGGCCGCATTTTTGCTTTAGTTATGATTTCGCGTTTCTTGACGCGAACAAGAGAGCCTACGATCAGTACTTTGAGATGCTACTTGAACTGGTACTTTTCTTATCTGACCATCTCGTGTGTAGCCCACATATGAGCAGACGTTGACCCCAAGTTTCTATAAATGGATAGATACCGCGACATCATCAATATTTTTTTCTCTCTCTTTTTGCTTATTATCGGTTCATTTCAGCTGCCCAGAAGCTGAACAATTTTATTTTTTGAATAAAATATTCGCCCAGATATTGTGGGATTCTAAAGTTCAGCATTATATAATAATAATAAAATTAATATGATTTCATCCGCACCGTACAGGTGAAGGTTGGGGGGGTTATTGTGATCGATAACGTCTTGTGGCAAGGAAGAGTGGCCGATCCGCTGGTACTTTACTGAAACCCATCTGAATTCTCTGTGGAAAGAAAAGGGTCTCCTGTTCTTGACCAGCTTCTGCATCATCGATTCCTCCTGGGCAGGTGGACGACCCCAAAACAGTCAGCATCAGGGACTTCAATAGTAAGATTCTCAGAGACAGCCGGGTGAACATCAGCATGGTGATTCCCTTCCTCATCCTTTGTGTTCTTAGGGTTTGGTTTCCTTCTTCTCACTCTGCTTATGATTTTATGAAATATATATAAATATATATATTATTTTATTTTATTTTTCTGGGTCTTTTTCTTTTTTTCTGATTTTTGTGGTTTGTAGGTGCCGATTGGGGATGGAATTACCATGTGCAGAAAGATTTGGAGTTGAAGGAGGCTGCTCTGCCCCGCACTTTCTGGAAAAAGTTATTATTATTATTATTATTATTATTATTATTATTATTATTAAAAAGTTGTGAGAAAACGTCAGCAACGGTGTTCTCTACCAATAAAAAGGTGAGAAACCGTGTTCTGGAAGGTTGTAACAAAGAGGTTGCCGCTTGACCAAAAAGCTGAAGAGAAATTACTATTTTTGTTTTAATTAAAAAGTCGCGAGAAAAGATCGGAATCCGTGTTCTCCACCAATAAGAAGGTGAGGACTTGACCAAGAATTCGAAGGGAAATTGTTTTATTGTTATTAATTAAAAAAACTATCAGAAAATGGCAGAGACCGGTTGCTCTCCCCCCCGCTGTTGACCAAGATGCCTGGACGATTCAAGAAAAGTGCTCCATCGATGTGAGGCAACTACAAAGTAGTCAAAGGTGACCAAAAAGCCCATGAGAAAGTATTTTAAAATTACTATTATTATTTATTAAAAATTTATCTAAAAAGAAATGCATCTAAGCGGCAGAGCCGTGATGAATCTAGATGTTCGGGTGATTGCCCATGTGGTCCCCACGCATGGCTTCCCACGTGGCGAGATCTGGAGTACGCTTCTAGTCACTGCCCTGTTTAACAAATTAAATGTTTGACCGATTCGCGCAGATTTTCCGGGTCACTTGACCGGCTCTTTAACGAATCCCAGCCGTCCAAAGCTGATCTCCGCAGAACCCCGTCGCCCACGCCAGACTGAGGGAAGGCCCACAACAGGACTCCCCGACAGGAACATAAAGCGCGTGGGAGAAGACTACGGACGAAGAGAAGTCACGGAATTAAAAGCGACTCTCTCTCTCTCTCTCAGAAATTATCCATTAATCCCTTAACAACTTTATATTGTATATTTCCCCAGTTCAATAAAATATTTGTGTTCAGACGGATTGTGTATGGTCCATGCGTTCACACACCGGATAAGAAGAAAGTTCGAGGGGTTATAAGGAAAGAGAAGGTTTTCTCAAGGGCCAAAGAAGGCACCTTCTTCGATGGCATCTTCTTCCCCGGCGAGCAAGAAGGGTGGGGCGGGTATATTCGCCGTAGTGATCCTCAGGAGCTGATAATGGTGACCTCTAAGATGGCGCCGCCGCCGCCGGTGGCTCCCCTCCGATCTCTGTCCTCCTCCCCTTGCTCTCTCAAGGTTCTCCTCCTCCTCTGCTCCTTCCTTCTGGCGACGGTCTCCGAGGGCTCGTCGGTGGCGAAGCTGCGGTTCGCTCGCCGGAGCGGCGAGTTCAAGATCCTGCAGGTGGCGGACATGCACTACGCCAACGGCGCCACCACTCCGTGCGAGAATGTGCTGCCCGCCGAGCAACGCGGCTGCTCCGACCTCAACACCACCGCCTTCCTCCGCCGTCTCATCCTCGCCGAGAAGCCCAACCTCATCGTCTTCACCGGTAAATCCTCACTCTCTCTCTCTCTCTCTCTCTCTTTCTTTCTCTTCTCTGCAAATTCCATGGCTTCTCTGAGCGGCAACGCCGCGGGAGCAGGCGACAACATCTTCGGCTTCGACGCGAACGACTCGGCGAGGTCGATGGAGGCGGCATTCGCGCCGGCGGTGGCGGCGGGGATCCCCTGGGCTGCCGTGCTGGGCAACCACGACCAGGAAGGGAACCTCGGCCGGAGAGGGCTCATGCAGCACATTGCCGGCATGCCGGCGGCACTCTCGAGGGTCAACCCCAGGGGGCTGAGCTTCCCCATCGACGGCTTCGGCAACTACCACCTATCCGTCGCCGGCGCCGCAGGCTCCGCCATGGCCAACCAGTCCATCCTCAACCTCTACTTCCTCGACAGCGGCGACTACTCCTCCTCCGATTTCTCAGTCTACGACTGGATCAAACCCTCCCAGCTGCTCTGGTTCCAGCAGAGCTCCGCCAAGCTCCGGCGAGAGCACGGGGGCCCAGCGCCGGCGATGGCCTTCTTCCACATCCCGCTGCCGGAGTTTGGGAGCTTCGGGCCGGGCAACTCCACCGGCGTCCGGCAGGAGGGCATCTCCTCCGCCGCCGTGAACTCGGGGCTCTTCGCCGCCATGGTGGCCGCCGGTGACGTGAAGGCGGCGTTCGTCGGGCACGACCACATCAACGACTTCTGCGGCGAGCTCGCCGGGGTGAACCTCTGCTACGGCGGCGGGTTCGGGTACCACGCCTACGGCAAGGCCGGGTGGCCGAGGAGGGCGAGGGTCGTCGCCGTCTCCCTGGAGAAGACGTCAGCGGCGGGGTGGGGTGGAGTCAAGACGATCAGGACGTGGAGGCGCCTCGACGACCGGAGTCTCTCCACCATTGACTCTCAGCTCCTCTGGACGAAGATCTGACCAATTACCTCTCGTAAATGGTAAGACTGTTCCGGCCCCACCCCCCCTCTCTCTCTCCTCTGGCCGGGGCCCATGGGAATTGTTTGACTTTGCATTATTAGTCAACCACGAATGGCCGAGGGCAGAATAGCAACGTCCTTGTTTTGGAGCTCACTCGCGCTGACCGTGTCGGGCCGGGGTCGGGTTTGGTTTCGGGCTTTTTCTTACCTGCGCCATTAAGATGGGGTTTCAAATTGATCGGGCCCGACCAAGCCCGTCTTGGATTTCCGGGCCCGGGCATTTTTCCGGGTCATGTAAAAAGCCTAGGCCCATCTCGATGGTCGAGTATCCTGCACGAGCCTGCCAGCTAGGAGGCCTGGGCTGGGGCCCACATCCAACCTGGCACCCCATCATAGGGCGAGATCTCCTCCCAACCCAAGAAAACCGGCGGCCCGACCCGCCTACAACCAGAGGATTCTCCCGCCTCTCTCTCTCTCTCTCTCTCTCTCTCTCTCTCTCTCTCTAGCTGGATCTTCCTCACGTTGGTCGGATTTGGTGGTGGGCGCTTTGGAAGTGTTGGAGTGGAGGGTTTGGTGCTCTCCGGTGAGATGCGGGGGGAACGCCCGATGGGGTCGCCGGCCGGCCAGGCCCACCCTCCGGCATTCTCCCTGTTGACGTTCCTGATTGTAGCCTTGCTCCTCTTCGCCGGTGCTCGATCGGAGGATTCCATCTCCGGGGAGGGGGTTTCGGCCATCCGATTGCCCTCGGAGGGTGGGGACCAGGCCGTCTGCGCGTCGTCGCCGGCGGCGGCGACGTGCCCCGTCCGGTGCTTCCGGCCGGACCCCGTCTGCGGAGTGGACGGGGTGACCTACTGGTGCGGCTGCGCGGACGCCGCCTGCGTGGGGGTCCGCGTGGCGAAGCTGGGGTTCTGCGAGGTCGGCAATGGCGGGAGCGGCCTTCTCTCCGGCCAGGCTCTCCTTCTCGTGCACATCGTCTGGCTCATCGTCCTCGGCTTCTCCGTCCTCTTCGGTCTCTTCTGATCCTCAGCGGTGATCCGGCAACGTCTTCTTCCCTGTGAAACCCTACGCCGTGATCTAGCATCGTCTTCTTCTCCATTTCATTGGAATGTAATCATCACCCAACGGGATTGATCCTGGTTCGTCGTGCTTGCCCAGAAATCAGAGAAACCTAGATTCTGGAACCGATCTGTTCATAAACTGTTCATAAACCTAATGCACCTCGAATTGCGATCAAGCCGCACCGTTTTGCCCATGATCTGACTCTGAAAATCGGAAGATTATATCAATCTCAGGTATTAGTCCTTTGACCTCTTCTGTCAAATCCCTCTCTTAGATCTGTAGAACATTTCTTCATTTTGTAAAGGATGATGGTTCTCAGAATATCATCATCTCCGGGGCGAGTCAGTCTCTCTCAATCTGTTCTTCATCTCCCATTTCCCAGCTCTTTGCGCATGCATGATCTATCTGAAAGTATGAAGAACACCAACCCGAAATGATCAGATATTTGGAAAATAATATTGTTAATAACCTAATTATTGGATGTAAGGATTCTCTCATTGCCCGTTGACCACCTACTTCAAGCATATTCTTTCCCATCGGAGACCGCTTGGCATCTGTTCTTTCCCGGATAAACAGGTCTCCTCTCTGCAGCCGTCTCCATGGCCGAAGCTCCGGAGCATATTATCTGCGGTTTTTATATACTATTTTAAGTTAGTGGGTACGGGTCGGTGGAAGATTAGGAGTTTCTTCCATGTCAACGCGTTGACTTTAAAGCGAACCGTCTGGAGTCGGATAGAAGTATCTGGTCGGCCTCTCTGGATCCTTCGAGGACTTTAAAGAAAATATATCTGTCCACGTAAAGATCAAAGAAAGTATTTATGCAATTTTCAATGCTTGAAAGGTTCAGAAGCAGGAAGAATCACGATGGTTGATGGTGTCCTCTTGACCGTCCGATCGAGCTTGGATGGTCGACAGGGCACTTTCAGACTGATGGAAGATGGCCCTCGAGATGAATAATCAAGGATCTTCGGCGATTCGGATTTTCTGCAACCGGTCCCGATTCGTATCTAACGACTTTTGTTCTTCTATTGCCGAATGGGGTCCCGCCACGTGGATTTTTTTCCTCATCCAGTTGATTCTCATCTTCGGTCCCCCCCTCCCCCCAGTCGACGGTGGCCTCCTCTCTCTGCGAGCTTCAGGGCGGCTCTCGCTCCCGCAGTAGGCGATCTCTCCTGCTTCAGCAGTCGCATCGTCCTTCTTCTTGTCGCCGCTGTAGTTGGCCCGTCCTGTTCGTGCTGCCGGCGGGTGGATATCTGCGGTTTAGTGCAGGGAACGAGGGCCAGATTTTCCGCCGCTCTTGCATCAGGTTGCGTTTGTGTTGCCTTCTTGGGTCTCGATCTCGTCGATGGATCCTCCGTTCTTCTGTCCCTCGTTTCGTCCCCCTTCCCCCCGCAACCCCCATTTTCCCACCCTTTTCCCATTACTGTCCCGCAACTCCTTCCGACCAAGACTGAGGTACAAGGTGCCCACTTAGATCTATGGCCGTTTCTCGTGCGATCTGTCGAGGTTGGCCGTTGGGGAACGACCGGTGACTAAATATTAGTTTGGAAAACAGTAGCCGCGTTAGTTCTTCATCTTCCTCTTCCCCTGAATTCTGCTTCCTCGCGGTGTGTTTTCGACTTTATTCATGTACTGAGTCTCGTCTGGTGTGAGTACTTTGCTGGAATTTTAGTGGCGATAGAACTGGGTTGAGATCCCACCTATTGATGCTTTCCGATGGGAATTAGGATCTTACTTGAATCCGCGATGTTGCATTTTTCTTAGTGTCCTTTCCTCTGCCACGTAAGGATACTGTTCTTTTTTATGTGTTGCCTAGCCTTGGTAGATGATGTTGTCCCTCCTCTTGCCATTGATATCTAGCAAATTCACTCATATACTGGAAGGGACCCGTCTTCTGAATCAGTTTTCCTTGTAATTAATTATTTTGCGTGATGAAGTTCTAGTTTTCAAAAGGAAATTTCTAAAGCATCCTTATACGGGGGTAATTAATTCTTTATCTTTTTAATTTATGTTGACAAGGAAGGGCAAGCATGGGTACCCAAAATGGTGAGGATTGTTTCGGATGGGCAGCTAGAGATGATTCAGGAATTCTTTCCCCCTACAGTTTCAGCCGCAGGTGGACTTACCTACGGTTTTATGGTCTTTCCCCTTTGATCTTGCAAAGAAAAGGCAGCTGCTTCATTGACAGTCCTTTCATGCATTTAAATTATCAGATAGAATTTATTTTGGTAGACGCTAATGTTTTCTTAAAGTGAACGATAAATATGTTTATATATGTATTGATATGCGTGGTCATTGGAAACTGGTGAGTGTTCATCTTGCTAAAGTTCGTACCACTTTTTACTTGGAAAATATTCTAGTATCATATTTTGCATTCTTTTTTTCCTTTAGAGCATTCTTGGTTGCTTGGATCTGATGCTTTGAGGTTAAAGCAAAAACTATCACAAATGTGGAAGATCCGTCGCTCAAATCCTGATGATCTAAATAGGAACATCACCAAGGGGAGTTAGAGAGATAAATTGACTAGTTAGTCTGATGAGGGCCAAATGATCAGGAGTAAACGGTAAGACTTGTGAATTCTTTTCTGGGTATTGATGGGTCTTATGATTCAAGAATTGGCTTAGATTTCGGTCAAAACGAATAGAAGTCACCATAAACGTGAAAAAAGTAAAATAGAAGATTAATTGGCACAGCTGAATTTATTGTCAATTTAAACCAAAAGAAATTGGATGTACGTGCTTATGATGATTCCTTGAGGTGAAGTTGATTTTTGACCAGTGAAAAGGCATCAAGATGCTGATTCACGTTGAAATACTTTCTCCTGAGGTCTTAGTGTGAATGGTCGGGGGCAGGGGAGTGGATAGGTATAGATTCGTCTTCAAGACATAATTAAGCATTTTCAAGAAACATGAAAAATTAAAAAAAAGACGCACCAGAGAACGAAATTATGATCGCGTGGCTTCTTTTTTTTCATCTAACCCCCCAAGGAGATGTTTTGTGCCTTTGACTTTTACTGCAGTATCTGTTGTCTCCAGAGTTAGCATTACTGTGGTGTTGGAGACGCTTATTGGCTTGTGACATGATGAAGCATGCGTTAGCTTTCATGAAATTTCTTGTCTGGGTTAAGAAATCAATATATTTTCTAAAATTCTCTAGAAGAAACGTAATTAGATGCTCTCAACCTGTTGAAAATTTTTAGAATGAGATTTTTTTAGGGTATGAATTTTCATTCTGAAAGCACTTGAATGAATTAATCCATTTATTTCATGTTGTAAAAATATTGTAGGGTGCTGGGGCCTGACGATGTCTCATTAAGAATAACTCATTGTGGTGTTTGCTATGCTGATGTTATCTGGACAAGGAACAAACTTGGGAATTCGATATATCCTCTGGTTCCTGGGTATGTTCTCTATCACTACAGTGGGAATTTTCAGGACATTATCCAATAGCCATACATCTGTGTGATAATAGACAGCTCTGAAGAGCTTGGAATTCCGAGAATAATTATATCATACCTGTCCTTTTGGGAGTATATTTAATTGTGTGCCACGATTTAACGAATATATTAAAAAAAAATCATAAGAGTTGGCTTTGGCTTCTCAGTCTTAAGGTTTTTTTTAACAATGCTGAAATATACCTTTCAAAAAACAAAAGAAAAAAGTTTCAACACCTGCATAGTAGCAAGTAGTGAACATAGTAGAAAATGAGATACCAAAACGCCGTTCACAAAATCAATCATTTTATGAATGGAAAATGTCAATCATTTCGTCCACTTGTCAGTTTGGTGGATCAGTTCCACGAATATCCTTCTTAAGATGGAATATCAACAATGAAAACTAGAATTCCATGCTTTGCTGATTGTGTTTTTTTGATGAGAAGTTTAAAATTCATGATGCCACTGACGTTTAAAATCCAGTGAGATGAATCTCTTGTAATAGCATGTTTGTTCATATATTCATTGGAACATCTAGTCTATATATTTATCATGCCAAAACTGTAAACATCAGCTAATATAGAGCTCAAATTATGTCTCATTGTACAATACTTGAATTGGCTTTTTTGTGGTCTCATCAATGGACTTCTTGGGAACATGAAATGCAAATGACTCGGCTAGTTTTACAGTATGGGCTGCAGAAAGATTTGGCCTCATATATGTTAGCCGTAGAAATATTTTCTGCTTGATAACTTTTTGCTTTTATATTCCGTTCTTGGGGTCGGCAGGAGAACACCTAAAACATTTATCACTTTTTTCTACTATTCAATTCGAAAGATGACCCAAGCATATCTTTGATTATGAAATTATTCTTGCCTAAACCTTGCTATTTTAGTTTAAAAGTTGCGTCTTCATAGAAATATTTTAATACCATTGTTAATTCCCATAATAATAGCGTTCTGCAGCTTTCTTAGGAATGTAGTTTGGGTTGAGACACACAATAATAAATATTATTCAATTTTTTCATATTTTTATTTTATTTCTTGATCATGAAATTATCTTTCAATGTATTTCCTACTCTCATAGAAATTTATTTGGGTCAAGACTGCTTTATTTGATGAGATTCTTAATGTTACCTGCATCCACGACATCAATACTATTTCTTTACCACGAGAAAACTAAGCATTGCTTTAGAGTGTTTTCTATTTGTTACATGTGAAGTTGACGACTTATATTGATGTCCACATATCACCACTTGGTGACATTCATAATCAAAGAAACAGTTTAGTCATATGATCAATCTGTTGTTCAATTACCTTTTCGAGCTGATACTACCGGTCTAAGTTCTTCTTTGTCAAAGATTATCAAACGGAAAAGTTGACGTAGATTTTATCCACTAGGCATGAGATTGTAGGCATCGTAAAGGAGATTGGATCCAATGTCAAGACTTTCAAACCGAACGATCATGTTGGTGTTGGAACGGTTGTGAATTCCTGTAGACAATGCGAGTGCTGCGATGGTGGACTTGAAGTTTATTGCTCACAGAATGTTCATACGTTTAATTCCATTGATGCGGATGGCACAATCACAAAGGGTGGATACTCCAGCTATATCGTCGTTCATGAGAGGCAAGTGGCTCCTAATGATCCAATTTCGTGTTTTGGGTATATGATTAAACCGCATGTATCATAGATAAAAACTTGCAATAGTGTGGCAATCATGCAGAAATAAATCATTTTGGAATTTTCATGCAGAAATCTATCTAGCCATGAATATTGTTATGCTGTAGCGTTGAGATGGTGTCTTCTTCTCTGAAAACTTTTGGGTTCAGACCCAAAGCCCAACATTTGAGGAATTAATTGTTATTTATGACTTTCTGGAAAATAGAGCATTAAAGAAATATTAGGGTCTTTTTAGATTGACAAATAAGTTGTATGGTTTTCTTGCACACCTTTCATTCACAAATAGGTTCTATGCGACTATGTTCCGTAATTATTATCATTGTCTTTTTCAAAGGGGCACAAACTATCAGGGAGCTGTACGGGTTTTTACTCTATTTTTCACATTAAGGAAATATAACAGACATGACCCAAAATTCCAAAACACTACATCTAATAAGAAAACCATTTCATCTCGTTTCTGTATTAATGAATACTCATTTATATCCTGCTTTCTATTTTCTTTTTTCTTATTATGTTGACACAGACATAGTTCATCCTATTTTCCGCCTCTCTAATAATTAAGCAATACCATTTAATTATTTTTAAATATACCTAAATAGAAAACCTCATCTTGTCACCTAGTGAGCAAACTAGTGGATCACTACATGCTCTGCGTAATCTTATTAAGATCCATGATTCATTTACTGCCAGATGATCATTATTTGAACGAGAATTAGAATATACTTCTTGAAAAAAACAGAGCTACCATCTCTAATCAATAAAGGTGAGATATTTGAAAAATCAATAATAAAAGCTGCCGATTTTGCTTATCCAAGGACTTCGCTAAGAACCATGATGCCTTCTCTTTTGACTATGCCAAGCACTGGTGAAGTTACCTGCTACTTTTATTTTTTTGGAAAGCTGAAAATTTGTTGGGACACATTACTATGAAGGAACCCACAGATATCCATGGTTTTGAGGAAACTGCATTCAATTGGTTTCATCTTGACAACTAACTAAACTCCTTATTTCTAGGCATTAAGAATAGATGCTGCTTGCATGCATAGAGATTATACTTAAGAACAGAGAACTTGCTGAGTTGCCCTGCGTCCATGGATTCCAAATTTTCAGATACTGCTTCCACATACCTGACGACTACCCACCAGCTTTAGCGGCTCCTCTGCTATGTGCTGGAATCACCGTGTACAATCCCATGGTTCGCCACAAGATGAACCAGCCAGGAAAGTCTCTTGGAGTCATCGGGCTCGGGGGCCTAGGTCATCTCGCTGTTAAGTTTGGAAAAGCTTTCGGTTTGAAGGTCACTGTTCTCAGCACCTCTCTCTCTAAAAAGGATGAGTCCCTGAGTCTCCTCGGAGCGGACAGATTTGTGGTGTCATCCGATAAGGAACAGATGAAGGTGATGTTTATCGCATCCATGTTTCTCACTCTCAGAGCATAAAATTTTACCATTTCATAGTGTTATACTTTTCTTTTTCAGAGAAACCCAAAAAAAAAAAAAACCAATTTTGACTTGATTTCAGAATTTTTACTATTTTTCATCAGAAACAGGACATGGGCAAATATAATTTTTCCACTTTTAGAGTTCATGATTTCATAATGTTAGTCTATTTTTTTGTCCGAGAAAAATCTGAGCACTTCAAGTGATTTGTCAAAACGAAAATGGCCTCGCTTTCTGGTGCCAGGCTCTTGAGAACTCACTGGACTTCATTATCGACACCGCCTCTGGAGACCACCCTTTCGACCCCTACATGTCCCTCCTGAAGGTCCACGGCGTCTTCGTCCTGGTCGGCTTCCCAAGCGAAATAAAACTAAGTCCCATAAGCCTCAACCTCGGTACTCCTCCCCCCCTCGGTCCCCTTCCCCCATTAGAAGAACCTGTGAGGCCAATCTTTACTCTTCTTGTGGGCACGCGGCTGTTGCAGGGGGGAGAACCATCACCGGGAGCATAACAGGGGGAGTTCCAGTGACCAAGGAGATGATTGACTTCTGCGCCGCCAACAAAATCTACCCGAATGTGGAAATCATTGGGATTGAAAGCATCAATGAGGCCCTCCAGAGGGTCGTTGACAAGGATGTGAAGTACCGCTTTGTGATCGACATTGAGAGCTCCCTGAAGAAGCCATGACGTTCTACTGGTTGCATGGTGAGAGAAAAATATTTCCAATTATATTTCCATAACTGGTTGTGATTTTTTAATATCATGAACATGGTATTGTTTTCCATGATCCGAGTTCATGGTAAGTTTTTTTTCTGCATGAAGCTGGATTTTTTATTTTATTTTTATTTTTTCTTCTTCTTCTCAGGAGTGCAATCTTAGAACTGGGAATCTTTCTCCTGCAGGAGTTCAAGTGGGGGGGGACATCCTCGGCAGTCTGCATAGAAATTTTACTATATTTAGAAAATAGGGATTTGGGTAGATGTGCCGATGGGTGTTGGAGCTGGTTTGGAAGCCGAGCTCAATGATTGACATTTTGTGCCTAGTATTTCCCACAAAGATATTATTATTTTAAATATATATGCATACATGTAGAATAATTTTGTGTATATACATTTTTTATTTTCCGTCCAAAGTATTTGCTCTTCAGGGCACTTTTTAAGAATTTTATTAACAAGTAATCATAAGAAAAAATAAACCATTTTCTTTATTTATCGAATTGCTTGTTCCTAGCATTTCCTCTTTAATCCCAATTTTATGCTTTTAGTTTTAATAACTCAAAAAATGGAAAAACACAAATTTATGGATTTAGTAATTTGGTGAATTGGAATTTTTCTTCATTAAAACTGCAGAAAAAATCTCTCACTAGAATTACAGGTTTCCAAGAGGTAATAAGATAATTTATCGAGAACATTAACGGTTTTAAAGTCCAAACCGACGGTCCGGATCATCCCGCTGGCTAAGCAAGCCCGCCGAGCCATCTGAGGATGAACGGCCGAGATTCGATCTCGGGGTCGTCTCGGGGAGCGCATGGGACATGGCACTTCTCCACGCCCGCCGTGGTGGAAGGGCTGGCCGTGCGCCGTCACCGGCGCCGTGGATACCCAGTCAGAGCGGAGGCTCACTGCCATTTGCCGAGGGGAGGATGAGGAGCGGCTGAGAAGAAGGCGAGACCAGTATTTTCTCTATGGAAGAAGAGAGAGTTAGAGTTAGAGTTAGAGAGAGGATTAGGAGGACAGGCTTCGGAGAAAAAGCTCTCTCTCACTCTCTCTCTCTCTAACGCACACTCTTCGACCTCTCCTTCGTCTCGGGTCCTCCGTTACTAATTCTCTCTCCGGCCCTTTTCCACTGACTGAGACAAAGATAAATAGACCGAGATAACGGCGCTAGAGAGAGAGAGGTCGAGGCCGGGTGTTTAGGGAGGTGGGAGCAGAACATGAACGCGTGGTAGGTAGGGTGAAGAGACGGACACGTGGTAGGTCAACGAGCGTCGAATGCAGGCTGGGAACCGTCCCCGCCTACTACTTGCATACACGAACGCGTGAGGGGAACTAAAAACCTCAACAAAAAAGGAAAACCATGTAATAATGGAATGTTTTATTAGTTTTTCAGCCTCTTCTATACCACACCACGTAAAATAAATGCATGCCCTAGGGCACTCTCGTCCTTTTCTATTTATCTAAAAAAATATAAATAAATAATTTAAATATTCCCCAAAACCATATAATTGTATATATACATCTGTCACTACCATGCAAAAATATGGATGCTTCAAGTTGACTATGGAAGATCCAACTTTGAAGGAGCACCCATGCAGATTTTTTATTTCTTCCTCATATTTCTCACTTCAAATCAAGCAAACGTCATTTAAATATAATGCAATGAGAATTTTCACATTAGTGAGCTTATGATCACCAAGGAGAGTTAGTATTGATGTATGTCGCCCATTTGTTCACCAATATCAAAAGCCTAATTTTAGCTAATGAAGATGCTGAGCTTGATAGAGTGATTTTGCTGATTACAAAACCTTTACATTTTTTTTGGTTTTGTTTATGATTTTTGAGTAAAAAATGACTACTTTATATGCCGAAAATGATGAAACAAGAAGGCAATGAGAAGACTTTCATCCTGCAAAGTTATTTGAAAAAGAAGGAGAACATAATTTCTTTTATGTAAAACAAGAAGGGTTAAATAAAATAAATGACTAGAATCCAGGTTTTGGGCATAAAGATACCACTTGAGTATAATAAGCATCGACCTCTAATAAGTGTGTAGAACCCTACATCGAGTTGAAAATTGGCATGAAGTTGTGAATGTGAGCCAAGTTGAAGCAAAACCCTGCAAAGGTTGGTGGCATCAATGTAGCTCTTTTAACTGATACATGAATCCCCATGTTTACTTTTGAACAATACATTCCATACCCCTGAACGAGTTTGTGTTTTTGTAATAATTACAGGGTTGACTATTTCATTTTATTTGTACTTGAACAAGTTCTAGAATTCTATCTTGTCTAAACTAGTGTCAGAAAAAAGGAAATATATTGTTTTTCTAGCCATTTTGAAGTAAATTTAGCTTTAATTTGTATGTGATTCAAGATTTTGTAGCTCATAAGGAGCTCTAAATACTTGGATCAAGATTCAAGCTGAGCAATCTGAGCTTCTTAATTCGTCATCAACTATGTTGAAAGTTGTTTACATTACATTAATTTATACCAACCACTGAATATAGGAGCCTCAATGAGGTTATCTATTGGATTATTCTTCAATGATCAACCATTGAATATGAAGGCCTCAACGAGCCTATGTATTAGCCAAGTTGAGACAATGCTAAAAATGACAATTGTTTTTACCAAATCTGTTCATGACTTCCTTAGCTTGAAATGTTCTCTTTAAGAAAGGAGGCCTCAAATGCAAAGTGGTGTCAGCTTGATGGCTCGAGCAGGATTAATCTTCTCAATCTTTAGGTGTCAAAGGATGGAAAACTTATTTTAACGTCTTTGGGGAGGAAGGTGGCAGCATGATAAGCTATCTTAGACTTTTCTTTGACATTTTCACTCAAACCCTAATCAAGATGAAAGACCCTCCTTTATACTCAACTTAATGAGCTGCAATGTTCATCGCAATGGGTAGGTGAGCAATCCTCATTAGCTACACTGGACATATAAATATTAATATTAATATTGTAAATTTTATAACAATTCAAAGTTTCCAAGTTTTTATGTGACGATTATTGCATTGTGGTCCTCTTTGAAGTAGCTTCCTAACAAGTGGTCAGATGCCCATATATTTGGCATCATTTTGCAGCTAAAACTCATTTTAATCATATGGGTCAATGACATAGATAATTTTACCCTAGAACAATTTTCACCTGATTTAATTACGAGAGTTGATCTATAGCAATTCACACGTTAAACACAAACAAGAAATTACCATCCACAGATCACCACATTATCCTTTGCCAACATCAAAACCTGTGAAGTGAAGCTTTCAAACCCAACAAGATTCAATTCCAATGGGCCTACAAAAATACAAAATTTTGGACAGCTACAGATGACAAGAGGAAGAGAAAAGCTCCGTTGTTCTGACCCTCTTGTTGCCTCCCAGAGCAACCTGAAGAAATGTGAATGGCATGGAGGGCCACTTATGGTGCAAAGAAAGCTCTCTTTTCTTACCCAAATGGGAGGAAATCCTCCCTCCTCTTCCTAATTTTGACTCTTGTTGATGGGGCTCTGGAGAGAGAAAACCCTTCCCTCATCAGCGGAAGCATTAAAGGAACCAAATGACTGGCTCTGGCTTCCCACTGGCACCTCTGATCTCTCGCCTCTGCTGTCATCTGAACTCTCAGACTGGGGCAATGCCCCTGGGCCGCCGCCAAGGCCAGGGCCGACAAGGCTCTTGTAGATGGACAGCGCCTGAGCAACCATAGCAGAAGGATGCCCAGCCGGACTAGGGAGCAACAGAGTAGTGCCCTGTTAAGGAAACAGAGTGGTAAGATAGATGGGAGGGCGACCATTAAATATCAATTGTTTTATATACTGGCGTTGGCCAATGGCTTGTTCTAGCCTATGGTAAAAGGATTCATTACCTCCTTGGCAATATTTCCAAACGCCCTAATATACTGCTCTGCAATTCTCAAACTCGCAGCCTGTCAGGGAGATGAAGTTGACATTGAGAGCAATAAAACGAATATTCTAAAAATAACTGCGTAATTTCCAAAGTGTAAAATAACCGACTTCTCTTCATTAAAAAAATAGCAGCGTAGTTTAACTTAGTTTCCAAAAATGTACTTGACCAGAATGCAAGGCAAGGTTTTACAGCATACCTCGCATCCTCCATGCTGTTTTATGGCTTCTGACAGCAGTTTAAGACCCTCTGCGGTGGCCTGTGACTTGGCAAGAATAGCTTCGGCTTCTCCTGATAGATCACAAGAAAAGAGTGTTGAAAGATTGCTCAAGTGTGCACAGAGGACTGCCTACCACTTTCTATTCGATAGTGGCAATGGACAGGCTGAAAGATTCATGTTCAGAAGGGAAAAGGCAAGTGCACAGAATTTTGATGAAAGAGAAGCTGGTGAATTTAGAACATGGAAGGAATTGGTCAACTCCAAGCATGACCGTAGTCGTTCATGAGTAGGGAGAAGAGACACACTAAGAGAGAGACAGAGACAGAGACAGAGCCCTCGTATAGTTTCCATAGAGTGATGATATGTAGACCGTCTCCAAACACATCAATTTAGCATCTGACAAGAAGCCCAAGTTCCCAAGGTCACTTCACTGTCATCACAGAGGATGAATAAATCACAGTAATATGGGATCCAACCAACGTCGCAGTTCTATTGCCCTCAAAAGTCTGAGAGAAGGCCTCTGGCGTTCCCTTCACTATCTGCGCACTTTCTTCATAACATAAGAAAACGACAAGCAATATCTTCTCCATGGATATTCCATGAATGCAATGTGCTCAGTCAAGATTAATGGGTCAAGTAATGATGCTCAGCCAGTTTTCAAGAGCAAATGACTAAGAAAAAGTGACAATAGAGGGACTTCCTTTCATCGTAGTCTACGGTGCTTCTTTTATCTCCACAACCAGGGCTCTTCTAACCAGCGTCAAACTCATATAGCTTTAATATGCAGGAAGATTCTACCATAACACTGATTTACTCTCCAGAAGAATTTAAAAATTCACAGAGGATGATTAGCCCAATTTTAGACCCATCTAAAGGAAATATAACTTTGTATGGTACTTGAGATTACTGCACGTAGTGGCAAATGGAATCATTACCTGTAGTCATTGATACGGTGGAAAAACCGCTGCACAATGCAGCCACATTAAAAGTGATGGTCTGTTCCAAGAAGCCCTCCCTATGGTTCAGAAACTAAGAAGGCATGTGAAGAACATGCAAACATAACTAAAGAAGATCGACAGCTCAAGCCATGGTTGTTGTAGTGTCATGATCATTTAGTGGTGATGATGCCAATAAGAAAATCACAACAGACTCAAGAAGCCAAAGTTTGACTGAGATGGCAGAAGAAACTGCAGCATAATCCTTGCTGTTGTTGATCGATGAATTAACCTGGACCTGTGCGCAGTGCCTCATGACAATGCTGAAACTTGAAAACCGCATGCTTACTTTGAGGCCTGAACTTTTTATGTACCGAATCCTTTTTCTAGGCAGTCCCAGACTAGAATTCTTTAAAAGAACCATCATTGTTTATTTCTATAGCAGCTGAAACCACTTGGAAGCCAATCACCACTGAAATTATCTCTCATATTTGTTCGCCTATTTTATATTCCTCCTCTTTCCCAACTGGATTGTCAAAGTTCTTGCAACCAGCATTTTTCTGTTTTTCCCCTTCTTTAGTGCCCTTCATCCCAACTTCAAGAACCCCAGAATCAAGCTTGATCCTAAAGGAAATGGCAGAAGCCTCATAACACCAACTCCCAGCAGCATAAAACCCAAAAGGCCCAGTCTAACTCCACAGCACAAAAAGTCTAAAGAATGAAAGACTATGGAGTCTCAAAATATTTTAAGGGCTACGGAGTCTAAAGGATGAAAGTGGCAGGTCTATGAACATCACGTGATGATGAAATAGAGAATGAAACAACAAAACCGCAGTCTCTTGAACTGTTCATGCAAATGTAACGCAAATGTAAGCACCATCACAATTACTGAACCTCAACCCAGACAGGCATCCTGTAATGCGGCAATGTTTGCCTTGCCAAGACAGACATACTATAATAAATGAATCATGATACCAAACCAAAGAGCATGTCTTCAATGTATTATTTATTAGATGGAGCCAGACATATGCACATAGATATGCCAATGAGTAAGGACATAGAAAAACAAAAGATTACCCATGTATTTTAACCTAGAATCTCTCAGAGGCAAATTTTAGAAGGCAAAACCACACCGGTAAGGCAAGCCCACATTGATTTCTCACTTGGAATCAGGGGATGTGGGCACACCATTTAAATAAGAGGATGAGCAGAAGTCCGATAAGGGTCATGATAGGCCTAGGAGTCTGGCTAAGAAATAGGGATATGGAGTGCCAAAAATACAACATAATTAGGCATATTACAGCCCAACTGTTCACAAGTGGCTGAGGGATGCTGTCTTCAATTCAAGTCTCTATTTTCCTCAACTACAGGAGTACGAGAAACCTTGTAGAATAGAAATGGCCAGGATTACTACAGGAAAATTAGTGGACGGAGTGACTCAACGAACTTAAGAACAAAGGAGACGGATAGTGCAATTAGTCTACTGTAAAATTAGGAAAGGTCTTGATTAGTTAATATAGCTTATGAAGATACAAAAAACATAAGATTGGAATGAAAAAATAGGCAAGTGAGTAATGAGATAACTCGTGGCTTTGGGAAAAGAAACGATGAAATAACTATGCCATCATGACTGGCTTAGCTTTTATGCTTTATCAACATTTTACTCTCAAATGAAATGTTGGTTATGATGAATATAATGTATGAACGAGCGAAGCATGAAAGCACAATACATTACAATGAACGACAAGATAAACATCACAAGAACATCAATAAATAAGCCAAAACAAATATGAAGACGAGAGATAAAGATGAATGTAGTTTAAACTTGAACGGAAGGATAGTTGGACATAAAATACTATGAGCTGGGTTGACTATGAAGGACATAACAAAGATAAGATAACGTTGAATAAACATTAATAAAACAAGGGGCAAGATGAATATGATGAATATAATGACATGATGGAAATAAAAGACACGAAAACTGAGGATGTCAAAAGAAGGAAAATCATTCGATCCAAAATCGAGAGATGGAGAAATTATTATCATACCATAAACGTGTTCTCAGGACAGGGGCGCGCCAAATCAAGAGCTCTAACAAGGAAAAAGCTAATGATAGTTTAAGCAATGAATTTTTATCAATGATTCCATATAAAGAGATCAACTTGGATCAATCCCTGGAGGCATAGGCAGAGATGGAGAAAGCAGGAGCATGTGAGGAGGTTGAAGCAGATGCAAAGAAGGGACTGAATGAGGGAAGCAACTCGTCTTTTAAGCTGGTTGAGAGCTGGGATAGAGTTTTTGAGGACGCATGAGTCTTCACCCATAAGGGGTATCAAACTCCTGAAATCGCTCGATTTCAAGCAATTACATTGCTTTTGGAAAGCATAGATCGAGCAACATTTAACAATCCATCATACCAGTTTCCCTCTGGTTTCAGGGGGGGTGGGTGCAAACTGATCTGCACTACCCACCTCTCCCTGAGGCCCAATGGGTCAAACCCTCATTCCAGGATTCGCAGTCCAATTCATTTCCATTCTGTTACAGAACCAAACCCACCACTCATGTGCAAAAGTCAAATGGCGTCCTTTCCTGCTCCCTCTTTACTTCAACCAGACTCAGTTGTTTTTTTTAAGATTTTCGTTGATGATAAGAGAAAATAAGGGGTAAAAATTACAAAAGGAAAGATTGTGAGACAACATCGAAAGAACAAAAAAGAATAGGAAAATTACCTTTGGCTCTATTCACTTGATCCATCATGGCAGCTTCTGACTCCAAGATCACAGCACTTTTCTTACCATCAGCAATATTGATATTTGACTGCCGCTCTCCTGGAAAACCGTGTTCCAGTTACAAAAAAAATAATCCAGAGAAGAGAGAATGTATCTACCCATAACAAATGCCCATATATATCTGGGAAATGGGAAAAGTAGCACTTTTTGATTGTAAGTGCATCATAGAGTTGATAAAGAAAAGTCACCTTCAGACTCAAGAACCTGGGCCCGTTTTCTACGTTCTGCTTCTGCTTGCATCTCCATCGCTGCCTTAACACCCGGAGGAGGAGAAATGTCCCCTGCACAAAAAATTCAAATGGTCAATGACACAAGTAAAAGGCACTATGCTTTCAATCAAACCAAAAAGACGAGAGGAGGACCTACTTATCTCATAGCGTAAGCACTGCAGCCCCCAATCAGTAGCAGCTTCATTAATTGCTTTCTGCAGGCAAACAAAAACTTCATATTATGGAGGAATATCAAACTATTCCAAATGAAAAGTTCTAATATTGTCAAACTCAAATAGATTTATGATATGAGATTCTTAGTTAACTTGATTGCTTTATGAAGGTGACATTTTTTTGTGAAACAAAAAATAAAAAATATCATCAACAATATGCTAATAGCCCAAACTTCTTCTAAGGTGCAATTACTATCAGCCTAGTTTGAATAACAGTGAACTAAATGACAACATGCATTTGCCGTGGAGAAAAGTTATAACTGTGTCCACGAAGTTACTGACCTCGGTTCTTCTGCCACACGTTTTCTCTCTTTTTGCTACAATAAAAATCCCAGGCAGAATTTACATTCTACATAAATGAAATATGACTAAATGTTATGACTTTAGGGTGAACTTTGATAGCCATCTTTGATTTCCATTGGAAACATTTGGCTCTTGTGCAGAATTAAGTGAATGACCAATAAGTTTCCAGGACGCCTGATTTCATGAAAAGTGGAAGCAGTCTGATATCACTTAATTCCATGAAAGACACTAACTTAGGACAGTCTAGAGTACATGATCTCTAGATAGTAAGAATGGTAGCTTGATCCCTGACGTTTTATATCCCACTAATTAACCACAAAGAACCTAGCGCCATGATCACTGAGATCTAGGGAGTATATTCCAGATGCAGAACATTAAGTCTCATTCTATGTGACACATTTAATTATATCAAGTACAAATAGGGAAGGAGTACTAACCACAATGTTCTCATTAAGAGTATCTCTCTCTGAGAAGGTCTTGTCCAGCGTGATCTTCCCCAGCTCACTCCTCATGGTAGTCTGGGCAAGCTTGATTACTGCAAAGATGGGATTCTCCACACCATAAGATGCCAAGAACGGATCAACAATCTGCCACAACCAATCAAACGTCCAAAACAATAGTTTATCAAACTTTCGAATAGAGTATACGATCTCTAAAAATAAAAAAGAATGTATGGGGGAGAGAGAGAGAGAGAGAGAGAGAGAGAGTAAATGCCTTGACGTAGAGGACGCCATCGATTAGGATGCTGACGTTGTCCTTAGTGATGGCAGACTGATCGGGAATGGGTATGGCTTCCTCCTTGAGGGAATGGACATATGCAATGCGGTCAACCATAGGGATTAATAAGTGGATGCCCGAGCCAAGCGTCTTGGAGTACTTGCCGAACCTCTCCACCACAAATGCTTTCTTCTCAGGCACAATGCGGATCCCCCAGTTGGTCGGCGGCGTCGGCTGGTGCTCGAATCTTGCACAAAAAGCCCCACTCAGCCCTCACGAGGGAGGGGAAAACACACAATCGAATGAACAAAACAGCACCGTGAACTGGGAGAGAAGGGGACGGGAGGGATACCTGGAGGCGGAATCCTCGCGGTTGCCGCGGTAGTGGCGGACGAGGGAGGGAGCGGCGACGTTGCGGAAGTAAGCGTTCGGCTGGGCTCTCGGGAAGATCAGCTCCCCCCCGGCGGTTTCGGCAGGCAGGAGCCGCTCAAGAGAAGTGCCTACTAGTGTAGCAGCCCGGATCGACCTCGACTTTCTCAGAACCATCAAAGCAGCCGCCATCCTGATATCCTCTCCCCCTCTCTCTCCCTCTCTCCGAGTCTCCAGGCAGACGAGGAGGGCGAGACGGAACAACCCCAAGGACTCACTTTTGATACTGCCGCGCTCTTCCTTGGGAAGCAAGAAGAGATGAACAACCCCAAGGACCCCAAGGACTTCTCCTAACTCCAGTGGGTCTACTAAAAGGGCAAAATCTAAAAAAATGAACCATTTTAGGTACTTTTTCAATATTTTTCTGACCTTAGAAACTGATCCCAAATTAAAACAATGATTGGAATTGACTTTAGGTTATCATATATTCATCCTCGTAGACCCCCAACAAATTTGTTCATACAACTCCTAATTTTTGCAATTATTGTGTTAATCCCATATCAAACACTTAATAGTATAACATAATTCCATCTAATTTCTCTGTGTTTTCTTGAAAAATAAAAACTATATGATTTAGGATTTTCCCATTTTATGTACATTTTCAATATTTTTCAGACGCTAGGAACTGATCCCAAATTAAAGAATTTTTGTTTATATAAGCCCTAATTTTTGCAATTATTATGCTATCCCTAATCAAACTCTTAAACAGTACAATATAATTCCATCTAATTTTTCTGAGTTTTTTTTAAATAAAAAAAATGATTTAGGATTTTCCCATTTAATGTATATTTTCAATATTTTTCAGAGGCTAGATACTTATCCTAAATGAAGAAAATTAGTGGAATCGACTTTAGGTGTCAATACCACGTGGCTGTCATATATTCATCCACGTCCACCGCTATAAATCTGCTTCTACGAGTCCTATATTTTGGAATTTTGTGTTAAACCCTTATCAAGCACTTAATAATATAATAAAATTCGTTTTTTTTCTCTGTGTTGTTTTTTAAAAAATAAAAATATATGATATATGATTTCCCATCGTAATAAACATAAAAACCCCAGGGGGAGTGTGGCTTGTCTCCTATTTATTATATATATATATAATAAATACAGGCCCTTAGTTCAACAATGCATTTCGTCCAATAGTGAACTGAGCAAGTCTGACAAAAAACTGGTCTATTTCGCACAAACCCCCTCAAGTTGGTGAATAGATCATCTCTATCCTTAGCTTGGATACAAGACTCATAAATAATGGAGATACGTCATGATCAGTTTGGATACAAGACCTCATAAAGTTTAGATTAAAACATTCCCCCCCCCCCCCCTTCTCTCTCTCTCTCTCTCAGACGTGGGTATATATTTTGTAAATGTGGCAAATAACCAATTTAAAGATCACGAATGATTGGTATTATTTACTATTTATTATCGCGCCACGGGATGTGCTGGAACCTACACTCCCTGGCCCTCTTCGCGGCCGGCGCCGCTACCACCCTTCGGCTCCTCCATCCTCACCGTCACCGCCTTCTCTGCCTCCACATCCTCCACCTCGCTCTCTTCCGCCGCCACCGCCGCCGCCTCCGCCTCGTGACCGGCGGCGTCGCCGTCCGCGTACTCGACGATGACGACGTGGACGCCCGGGTTTTCGGCGGCGCAGCTCCCGTCGAAGAGCACGGAGTTGTTCACTGCTTGGTAGTTACTGTTGGCGACGGCGCCGGCGCCGGCGCCGTCGAGGACGAGGGCGGTTGCGGCTTCTTCCTCGGCGTCGGCGCTATCCATGGTGGCCCCCTTGTTGGTGCCGGAGAGGGTGACGATCCTCACACCGGCGCCGTCGCCGGCGGCGGCGGCGGCGGGTCGGCGGAGGTCGCCGGTAAGGGAGGAGATCATGGATTGGATCTGCGGCAGGACCTCCTTAGCGTGGAGGGCTTCCCCGCCGGGGTTGATCATGGCGACGCTGCTGCAGAGGTCGCCGGAGAGGGCGGCGGTCCTATTTATGAAGACGTTTCCGAGCTTTATGGGGGGAATATGGAATGGGGTGAGCTGCAAGGAAAGAAAGGAATGGCAGCTGGGAAGAGGCGAAGCGGAAGAAGACGAGGATGGAGAGCTTTCCGCCTGGTGGGTTCCTAGAGAGAGAAAGAGCCCACAGAGAGTAAAGAAGGGAGAGAGAGACAGAGGGAGTGGGGAGAGAGGCAAAGGGTGCAGAGAACGAGAGAGAAAGACACCTGAGCGAACAAAGAAGAGAGCTCAACGCGAGAATAGAGGAAAGAGAGAGAGGACCCACAGAAAGATAAGCAGGAGAGCCCACAAAAAGAATATAAGAGAGAGAGAGAGAGAGAGGTCCCACAGAAAGATTAGGAGAGCCAACAAAGAGAATATAGGGGGGGGGGAGAGAGAGGAAGACAGGAGAAGGTAAATATTTTGAAATTCTTTTTTCACGAGAGAGAGAGAGAGAGAGAGAGGACGAGCACGGTGATCTTCCCTCTCTAAATCACTCCCCTGGGAAGTGACAGTAGCCCCGTTAGTCATCTCTTTCTCTCTCTAGAAACCCTTGCTTCCTTTCAACAAGGAAGAAACCAAGCCCATCATTTATAAAAAATATAAAAAAGTTGGTCCTTTTCCTTGGTCCGACCACCATCCTCACCGGGCATCGATTTCCGCTGATCTCTCTAGCACGCAAACTTGGAACAAGCGTATGAGAGAGAAACACATTAACACGCCAACCAATTATTAACAACAATAACAATAAAATATATTACTATAAAGTATTATATTACATATATTCACAACACCAACTATTCAAATTTTTTTTAAAATTTTTTTAGGGGGGGGATGTTGGAAAAGTGTGTAAAAAAGATGGATCAAAAGAAGTATTCACCTGTAAATTTCTCTCCTCCTCCGTTTTGCTCGTCTGTAGAAGTGTTCTTTGAGTGGGCGTGGTCGGACTCAGGACTGCGGCGGCGCAACTCCAGTCGTCCTCTGGAGCACAAACCTCCGCGTGTTCCAATCGCTACGGCATTTCAGGGCAAGACGGAGGGCGGTGCCCAGCCCCAGCAGGATGAGGGCGCCTGCACAGCCGCCAGAAGATATCATGCATCAAGTTCTGAGTGGCCTTTGATCAATCGGAAAAGGCCATTGCCTGAGAGTAGCAAGCATATGAGAAAATAAACAGCGAGTTCGCTGTTTCTCGACAAAGTTTGCTGAGGTTCTGTTCTGAATAATAAATATCATTCGTATGACCAATAAATAGGACAATTTTAAAGGAAAATAAAGGTCTTATAATAATACAAGACAACAACAAGATAAACTTCTTGCTAATCTTAAGTATTTTATTAAAAAAAATACTTACTATATCAGGCCAAAAAGGGAAATAAATATGAAGGGCATCTCCTAAAATAGTTTTTGTATCAGGAAATAAATGGCAAGTTTCTTATTCATCTGCAAGAAGATAAATGGTGGGTTTGTGAAGATAAATATAAATCGGTGATTTGTTCAAAAAAGAAAAATATAAAGAAAGTAGATCTGGGTTTTTTTAAAAAAAGCTGATTTATTAGGTTCTGGATATTATGCAAGAGAGAAGACTTGCATCACTAGAGCAATGAAGTTCCTGAGTTCCAGCACCTGCTCCAAAATAACCAGATTGGGTCTACTCTGAGCATGGGCCCTTGTTCATAATTACAGGAGTACTTCTACAATCGGCAAGTGTATGAGAACATGGATACCAAGGTTTCAGACATGTTAGACAAACGGATGCCGATTTTAGCTTTCCATCCCAAGTCCAGTTTCAAATCTGATAACAGCGAATAAGAGAGAGAAACGCAAAGGCATCATGAATTTCAAATGTAGGTGATCACCAAGAGCATACCAATGATTATATTGACGGGCAGAGCAGAGATGCCGAAGGAAATCGATACGAACACGTCCAACAGCAGCCCACCAATCAGAATGCAGAAGGCGATCCATATTGGGTTAAAGCTTCTCTGTTGGGAGGATAAGAACACAGAAGGGGAAGTTAAGAGGAAATCCAAGATCTGCATGCTGCAGCGTGCATAGCTTGATATGGAAGCGAAAATGGATAAGATCACCATGATGGTTATATGAAAGAATGGGCCTTATTCTAAGAATAGACCCTGTCTAGTTACCCTTTGGTTTTCTGGATTTCCCACATTTGAAATTCCATAGGCTGGATCCACCCTCCAAATCCAGTAATTTGTCTGTTCCACGAAAAAAAAAAAAGCACCTCAATTCCAAGATAGAAAGAAGGGGACGACGATCTGAAGAAATGATACAACTTTTGGAGCAAGCTGACAGCTTTAGTGTCAGTCAACATAATAAATCTGAACTTTGTAAAATGAGGATGCAGATATAGTAACAGAAGAAATTATTTTTTTTGGACTGTTTTCGAATTATTATGATCACCACTATAAAAATAAAAAGATATAGTTTCTTGGCAGGGCCCTATAAAGCATAATATAGTTCCAAGCAATTGCATACAATGATCCTCAGAAAACCATCGCAGCTTATGAAAGAACTTACACCAGGGTGAGACTCTGGTAATGGGACATTGACAGCTATCTGCCTGCACGAAAGGATTAAATAGCATCACCAGCGATTTTATATTAGGTCACAGTATCTGAATTTTCAGAGAAGCCCTTAAGAACTCACTGGCATATTTCGCATTTGTTTGAACCTCTTGTCCCAAACCAGATTTCGATGCAAGATTTGTGGACTTTGGCCAGCTCACCTCGACATCCACATCCAAGCTCCATTAGCGGTTCATCTGATAGCTCCTGGCAGACTCTGGCAGGTAGCATTGCGAATGGTGGTAAGCTTTTGTGGAAGACAAGGACGGGCAAGGGTAATGTCACTCAAAAACCCATAGGACACGCAAGCTAACATGGTAAGCGATAATTGAACAGATACTCAAATAATCTTCACAATTGCATATCAATGATATAAGCCACTGACACTGTAATTTGCAATCAACAAAAGACAAACTAGATAATGAATGATATACCAAAATGATATCACACCTTCAAACATATCGATGATATCCAAGAGGATCTTGATGTCATTAGAAAGATGTGAGTCTATGTATTTCTCAAAATCTTGTGAGATTTTAGTGCCAAACACTGCGTTGGATTAGAGTTCTTCAGATTCTTCATGATTATAAAAGCGCCATAATTAACAATAAAGGCGCCGCTTGATGGGAAGCGTCTTGGATTTGTTTTCCACTTGCAACAAAGCAATTTGTTTCATGAATGCATCAGAATTATAAAGAAAATAAATAGCATAGATATCCGCTGGTATTGAAAACTTGTTCTCGAATAGGAAGTAAAAGGATTCAAAAAGAAAAAATAAAAGAGGGAAGCCTGAAAAAATGAGCAGGATTATCATCCTTTGAGGTAATATTTTGAAAATTTAGTTCCATTTTAGCACATCTATAATTAATAGAAAGATCAACAGCTATTCATGAGAAAAAAATTCTTAAGCTTCTACCGCTTATCTTTCATAATTTAATATGCTGATATACGAAATGAATGATAAAACATTGGAATCTACAAAACAGTTGCAACTCTATCCTCGTACCTGGTTTTATAATGACATCGGTCGGTTCTTGAAAGAGGGTAGAACACGAGAGTAGACCCAGTCTTACCTGCATTGCTCTTGGTAGCTGTCACTTCTCGTCACGGCTATCTTCACGGTGGTCATTGGCACGAACGTACTACCATCATCTCCATCGGCGGTTGCGGTCGTTCTATGTTTCTCAGCATCAAGCGCTGCGGCGTCAGCCGGCTGCGTGGCAACGATGCTAAGTACCTTGTCCGCCGAGGCGGCGGTGGCAGGAGCGGGAGCTCCATCACCGCTGCTTCTGACGTCGATGCAACCCTCATGTTGACTAGATTTCCCCTCCGTCGGCACACAACCATCACCTCCACCATTCAGATTCAAGTTCGAACGAGAAGCCAAGATCTCCCCAGCACCCCCCCCTTCTTCTTCGCCCAGTTCCACATCCTTCATCGATCTTATTGCCCAGGTACACCCTCAGCCTTCAACCTTGCCCCCCTCCGGCAGGAAACCCGAATTAAAGGAACATAAAAAAAAATTCTCACGGTTCTGCTCCTTGTTTCTCTTCTTCTCGACAATCAGAAGCCTGCACACGAAAAGGAAACGATTGGAATCTTCATAACTCCTCATCTCTTCTCCTTTTCGTTTCGCAGAAACGGTCGACACCGGCAGAGAAATCGAGAGAGACACGCAGGTGATTCAGAAACTACAGAGGAAATCATCGCCAACGACGGGATGCGGCAGAGATGCAGAGAAGAGAGAGATAGATTACCCAGACAACGGAAGGCGCAACACGTGGCCTTCCAGCCGGCCACCGGGGCTAGATGTCGGATCTCCTTCTCCATGTTAGCCTTCCGCATATGTACGTGGAAGGGAAGACGAGCTACCCACACAGAGAGAGAAAGAGAGGGACGGAGGGAGGGAGAGAGAGTCAGAGACAGACAGGGAGGGAGGGGAGAGAGAGAGAGAGAGAGAGAGAGACGTCAGCACCCAGACCGTGTGGAATCCGCATGCGCCGTCTGTTGTCATCTAAACGTGAAGTTCATTTCATAATTTATCTATGAAAACTATTCACATAATTTTCATTTTATTATTTTAAAACGCAAAAAACTATTAACTATTCCGTGACGTCAATCGCCCGGGCTCGTAAATCCTACAAAACCCCCTGAGATTTTTATATATATAAATATATATTACCAAGTCCTTTCTGTCAATTGGGGAATAATATTTAAATATTTTTGTAAGGAATATCATGGGTTTTCTATTATTTTAATGTATTTGTTTACAATTTAAAATTTTTCACACCTAATTAACATTTTGAATAGTAAATGGACGGGACTTTAAACCATTTGGGTCCGTAGACTAAATCAAACATGAGATTTAAAATGTATATATATATATATAGCGCGAGAGAGAGAGAGAGAGAGAGAGAGAGAGAGAGAGAGAGAGGGCTCAAATATATTATCATAAAATGAAAATAAGGTTTTCGGTTTCCAAACCAAAGTTTGCATCTAATAAATATTTACACGGGTTTTCCTTTGGTGAATATAAACTGCCGCCACGTCGCCATCTGATGAGTGATGAGAGATTAACTCTGGGCTTGCTCTGTTCTGATGGGGGTTTGGGTCCCACCAGTACAGGGAAGGGCACCACCACAGTCCACGAAGCACAGCAGGAATCAACCACTGAGACTGAGTCAAGTCACGAGGACACAAAGCCCAACAGGTGAAATGAGGAGGGGTGTTAGGGGACGGGGTAGCCGCCAGCGGCGGTTTATTCACCCCGCGTTCACATGGCGGCGGGCGGCGGGCGGCGGGCGGCGGGAGGGTGTTTACAGGGGCCGCTGCCTCCGCCGACGCTGGCGAGAGCTCCGCTAGACGGCGTGGATGCGGATGGGTTTGGCGGCGGACCTCACGTTCGCGCCGGCCGGGGAGGAGCTGGCTTGGAAGGCCGACTGCCGGCCGGGACCTCTTAGCAAATTCAGTGACAGAGACGAGGGCGGCGGCGCCGCCTCCTCCGCCAGGCTCAGCTTCGAGATGCCGACGAGCTCCTCCACGTTGATCGGGGCTTTCGAGTGAACTGCCGTCGGTCTCACGATCTCGTGCGTCTCCTCCTCCTCCTTCTCCTCCTCCGCCGGCGCCGCCGAGTAGCCGGTCCAGTATGGGGCGGCGGAAACGGGGAAGAAGGGGGAGAAGTAGGCGGGGAACACCACCGGGTAGCACTGAGGATTCTCCGGTTCTGAAACCTTGTTGGAGTCCTCTTCCGCCGGAGCAGCCGGCGGCGGGGGAGCGCCGCCGTCCTCCATGGCTTCTGGCTCCGGGCAGGAAGCCGGGAGGAGCTGCGGAAGAGCATCAATGGACTGCTGGTGCGTCAGAGCAGGAGCAAAAGAGAGGAAATGAGGAGAAGGAAGAGGAGAGGGGAAAAGGGAAGGGGTTTTGACCTCGTCGGGGATCATGTCGAACAGGCTTGATCGCCTCTTCCTCCTCGAAGAATTGCTTTGGCGGATGAAGTACTTCTGGGCGTGGCTCGCCACCTGGGTGGGGGTCCGGGAGACGACGTAGTTGCGAGCTATGCCTCTCCAGTCGCCTTTGCCGAGCTTCTGCAGACCGAGGAGGAACATTCTGTGCTCTTCTTCAGTCCACGGGACACCTGCAAGCAAGAACAACCCCATTCAGGGACGAGCACCGTGGATAGAGTGACCGTCAACCATCATTGTCAAGATCCTGAGTGCGCATTCAAACAGCTCAGCAGATGACGAAACTTTCCCCAGGAAAATAAATTTTCTAGTCAACCAACCAACTTAAAGCATTTCCATAGCAAGATATAAAACATCAAACTAATAATACATCAAAGAAGGTACCAATCCCCAACTGGGAAGCAGCCCGTTGACCAGCCTACTTTGGGAATGTCAATGTCTGCACCTTCTTCTTCGGAGGGAGACTCAGTTGGTGATACTTTGCACGGTGGGACCCCAACTTCTACCAGTACTATAATTCTTTATCGACAAGTTCCGATTAAGATAAAATTGGGCAAGATGGAACATTCAAGTCAGCTTCATTGCAAATTTTTCAGGATCTTCCTTCCAACCATGCAGGAGATCTTCGTTCCCTGTGTAAGTTCTCAGCAGGTAGGACAAACATTGCCTTCACCAGGCGTGAGGATCTCTTCGGTCGTTTGCAAATACTAGCATGCTACCCATCAGATGGCCCAACAAAGGCAGGCACTATTTGGGCAACAGAGACGTGAAAGAAGGGCAATTTCATGCATAGATTTTGTATGATTCTTGGGAACTGATGGTAAATGAAAGAACCAGACATCTGAAGCGAAATCAACAAAATCTGAGAGGACCCTCAGCTAAAGATGGCTAACAGCATCAGTGTTTATCCTCCCTCTCTCTCTCTCTCTCTCTCTCTCTCACTCACTCTAGTAGTTCTTGGTAAGAAATCATTAAGGATAAGATTATCACCAGCAGCATTACAACGCTACCAAAGAATGAAGATGACACAGGTGAGGTTTTGAGTGAGTTTAAACCCCCACAATCAAATAAGGTTCTTGCTCGGGCCAGCATCATCTTAGAGTAGGTAAGGCAGTCATTAATGTGGGTAAGATGGACTGCTGCCATTACGCAATTGGGGACCGTAACCTCTGGAATTAGTCGTGGTAACCTAGAGAGAAAATATTGTCAGAAAAGGAGAAAAAATTGTATGCTCACACAGTGTTGCGCAAATGTTTTAACGATTTCTCTGAAAGAAGAAATCGAATCGGATGATGTAACTGGAGGAAGGGGGCAAAATAGCGAGCAGCACAGTTCTCAACTTTTGGGCCTTGAACATGAAAACTTTGGATGACACGAGAAAGCCGAGGTACTGCTTGATAGGCACTATCTGCAACAAGTAAAGACACAATAGTCCACGGGAACTAGACAAGGAACTCGCATGCACTCGTACGTTCGTTCCAGAAAGGTTGTGAATCGTCGAACTCGAGACTTCGCTGGTCTAAGCTTATTTGTCAAATGCATGTAAGAAAACGAGGACAAACGAGTATAATTCCTCATCGAGCGACCGTGACATGATATTTGCAAAAATAGAATCAAAATCACTCAAAATCAAACGGAAACGTAGACTTGCGCAGGCATGAAATAATTCTAGATTCTCTTTTGTATATATAAAACAATGCAAAATGGCCGTGGCCGAGGCCCCAAATTTAAACTAGACAGAAACAGAGAAAAAATGTAAGGGAGGGGTCCCTCTCAAAATCGGAGACGCAGCAGGAAGATGAATCCGGGACCTACCTTTCTTGCGCTCGCGACAGCTAGAAGACGAACCCTGCACGAAATCCTCAGATGCGTAGCCATCGGCCGCGGAGCCATCGACGCCCTCCGGGCAGTCCGCCGCCGGCGACGCCCCTCCGATACCACTTCCAGATCCGGCGTAGTGGCTCAGATTCCCCATGCTAGCACTCTTCCGGATTGATCCATCAGTGAGACGCACCCCAAACAACCTCACCCCACGGTTGGGGCACGTCCTCGAGTTGTGTCCATTGTTGCTGCAGTGGGAGCACTTCCTCGCCATCCCGCTCGCCACCACCTTCCTCCCACCGCCCCCCTTCCCCCTCAAACCAAACACTCCCCCCCTTTCCCTCTCTCAAAACAGCCCCAGCCCCCCCGCGGAAGATCCTCCCATGATCCGATCTCCGACACCTCCGCCCCCGATCCCGCCCTCCCCTTCACAACCTCTCCTCCGACGGCGCACCAGAACCTTCCCTTCCACCGCGAGGGCTAGCGAGTCAGAGAGAGACGATAGAGGGAGAGGAGCCTGTGGAGGGGAGAAGCGAGCGAAACACAGAGAGGCAGGGAGCTTGCCGAATCTTTCACCAAATTTCTAGGGCCGTGTGCACGGATCGGACACGTCACGTCCTCCACGTATAATCCCAGTGGAGGCCTAACGGCCACTCGTCGCACGTTGGAGATCCCGCCCCAGGGCTCGCGCGCTCGACGACCGAGTCCGACTCGTCCGCTTCGGACACGAGCGCACTGGTGAGTCCTGGCGGCACGTGCGGACGGAGAAGCGTTGAATAAGGCCCAGCCCGAGAGGATGTGGCTCAGATTGAGAGCAAGTGGGCCCCGTGGCAGAAGACGGCTGGCCACGGCTCGACATTCGACACAACAGCTAAAAATGTCAAAGGACATCTGGCCGTAGAAGTTGACACGTGGAGGCACTTTCTTTTTTCCCGCTGACGATACTGGTTTCTTATTCTCACCACACACCTCGTCCTTGAAGAATAAGCGGTCACCGGATCCAACGCACTCGCTGGTCAAAAAGTTGACCGCCAAGAAAGACTGGCTTCTCCGCGTGATGCGGGGGATGTGGGGCCCAAACTGATATCAGTTATTACGGTTTGGCTCTCTTCCACGATGGATACGATGTCGTCGAGTCATACGCATCGAGGAGAGAGATTGACTCAAATGAGTTTTCACCAGTAGACGGTGTGCAGGGGAAACGGGCCATTTGTTTTTTCCTTAGAAGACGATATGGTGGGTCTAGGGCCCAGGTACGCGCACACTCTCAGTGAGCATCGCTTCGTATCATGTGAATTGATGGGGGGCCCACAGGGCGGACTCCTAACCATGCCGTCGCGCCAGGGGTGGAGGCTCTAGATATATCGAAGGCCTTCTTGCTCCGGAGGAACCAACCAACATCGCCCGCCCGCCAGGCCAACAGGATCTTGGCCTCGGTTCGCACCCTCTCTCTCTCTCGCCCAGAAGAGGAAACGCGGAGAGGTAATTTCCGGAATGGTCGATGAAGATTTGTTTTGTTTTGTTCATTTTGGTTTTCCATCGTCCAGTTCTTCGGTCGTTTCCTTGACCTGATTGATCTGAACTAGAGTGGATATAGGATATGATTTATTTACGCATCCTTTGGAACTGACGGTGCGTAGCAGGAGGACAGGTGGCCTCTCCTTTGATGAGGATGAAGTTTTGTCTCGTTTATTTTGGTTTTCCATCGTTCGGTTATTCGGTCGTGTCCCTAACCTGATTGAGCTAAACTACAGTGGATTTAAGATATGATTTGTTTATGCGTTCTTTGGAACTGACGGTGCATAGCAGGAAGACACTTGGCTGCTCCTCTGATAAGGATGTTTTGTTGGGAAAGTCCGGATCACATTCGTCGTTTTTTACCCTCTGTTTTCTCATTTGTTATGTTGTTGAATAGGATACCTTCGGAATTTCGGCAAGCTTCGGAGTTTGAGACTCTAAGCTAGAGATTTTGTCTTTTGTGATTGGAAATGGAAATTCTTATATGATCATCTGCTAGGTTTTGCTGCGAGTAAACGAGGTCTTGTATTTACATTGGCTTGTTCTTATCGACGAACATCTGTTTATATCTTTGATCGCTGTTGGTATACTCCTCAATCTTACTCAGTTTTGTCAAGTCGTGCGATTCGAATGTTCTTATATATATATTTTTATATATACAGCTTGAGTTCCATTGTAATATTGTGGATGTGAAAATTTATTAGTATTCATCGAACTTTAGATTCCCTTCAACTCCAGTTTAGAGAATAAATTATTCCTAAATGGTACAAGTTCATCGCATCACTTAACAAATTTTCTATTCAAGAATTATATAATTTTTTTGTATCGCTTTACAATCCATTAAAACTTCAAAGTTCACCATAGATTCGCAATATCATTTTTAATTAGTCCTATCTGTCAGATATCTGGACTTCTTTTCGTCAATTGGCATTATAGCAATGGCTTCCCCAGTTTCGCCTCCTTGGCGTGAGAGGGCAAATGGCTTCTTCTCATCTTCAGGTAACTTCAAGTAAATAATCAATGACCAAGACAAAACCTGGTCATAGATCACTGGTTCATGTCGCTGTTAAATTCAATTTACCTGTGATTTTTTATTTCTTTGTCTCGACCAGGGGTCAAGCTAAAGCAGGCAAGCCGGTCTGCAGGAACATTCGTGGGGGAAGTAGCAAAGGACGCAGGTGGAACTGTTGCTGAAGCGGCGGAACGAGTTGGATCACTGATGAAGAGCCGATGGGCTTTCCTACAGCAGAATAAACAGCGACTGGCGTCACCATCCAAAGAAACTTTGCAAGAACACATTCGTTCCGCTGCCACAGTGACCAGCTCTCTGGTAAAGAAGGGCATTGCGGAGACTAAGGACGTGGTTGCTATAGGAAAAGTGAAAGTTGAGGAGGTAAATGTCAAAAATTTGTGTAATGTTGTGAATATATAGAAATTTTATCTGAAATGATATCTGATCATTGGCATACATCTTCCCCAAGAGATTTCCTCCCGCTGTAAAATTGCAAAACTTATATTTAGCAGCTACGGTTTTAACTTAAAGTGACGAAAATTTTTCAGGCAGCAAAGAAAACTTCTGACAAAAGTAAGAATTTACTGAGCAATATTGAACGTTGGCAAAAGGTGATTGTGTAATCTCAAGCTGTAGATATTTTCTTGCACATCTGCGCCTTCAGACTCTTATCTTATCTTTTATTTACAGGGTGTCGCAAGTAACGATGGTCAGCCACTTATTCTATTTCGTAATTTGCGAGATACAGTGTTATTGGCCTTTTGCATGATCCATTTTCCACATTTGGATACTGTTTATTGACATCTCTACAATTAACAAAAAAATATTTTGCTACTTCGTGTCAAGACTGACCAGTTGTTCAAAATTCTCAGTTTTTGGTGTCCCCATCGAGGTAGTTGTACAGAGGCAACATTCTGTCCGGCCGATTCCCCAGATTTTGGTCAGATGCGCCGATTATCTAGTCTTATCAGGTATCATGAGACGTTGTTCGGCACTTCCATATCTTTTCTGAACATCGAGCTCTGAATGATGGGCTTCTCCTATCTAGGCCTGCACACTGAGAACTTGTTCAAACTTGATGGAGACAGGAAAGCCATCAGGCAATTGATTTCATTGTACAACCAAGGTTAGATCCCATATTTGCTTATAGATTTGGCGTGGGGGTTACTTATTATGCCCATTATTCTTTCTCTGATGTTGAAGATGTGGATCTGTTTTCTAGATTGGAATGCTCCTGTGCCTGAAGGATCTAATCCACTCGATGTGGCCGCTCTGATGAAATGCTATCTCGCCAGTCTTCCTGAGCCACTCACTACTTTCCAGCTTTATCATGGAATTAGAGAAGCCAGGAGTAACATCAATGACGTCAGAAACATATTGAGCAAGCTCCCAAATGTAAGCTACACAACCTTGGAATACATCACGGCCCTACTCCTCCGTGTGAACCAGAAATCCTCTCTTAACAAGGTATGCCCCTCATCTGATCTGGTTCTTGTGTTCTTCATCAATGATACCAGCACACAAATGGTTGAACTAACCATTTTTATCAATTCCTGCGATCGTAGAGGGCATTTGATCTGAAGTTCTTGTCTGCATGCTTACTGTCGACTGGTAGTCAGATCCAAGAAAAAAAACCCCAGCTCCATTTGCAGAAAGACGAGGAAGAATGGATTCATATAAATAAACGCAAAGCCTTATCACGACAATGGGAGATCCGTGCTTTATCTCCTCGACATTATCTCCCGTGATAATAATAATAAGAAGAAGATTTTGCTATTTATAGTGTTATCACTGCTTTCCAATAGTATAAATGCGTTTCTTTTGAGAATATTTCATGTCAACCTAATAATGCCGAGTTCACTATGCTTATTTAAACCATAATATAATATATATATGTATCATAGCGCCATTTATATGTTTGTTCCTAAATCTGTGTACTGCTGGTAAGTTTATTCCTTCAGTGTGATAAATCTTGATCTCCATCACCCTCCCTGGGCCTATTTCCTGCATAAATCGACCCCTTTTCTGCGCAGATGGACGCCCGCAGCCTCGCCGCGGAGCTGGCGCCTCTAATGATCTGGCAGCAGGGGGACTCCAAGGCGGATTTCCACGGCCATCTTAGCTACACCTCGAGAGGTCCTTCCAAAGCCGTCGACCTGGCGGCGTCGAGCAACATTGCCTCTGAGAGCCTCTACGGTGAGACGTTCAACCCGGGTTATTTTATCTCAAATTACTTATTTTGGAAATATAGGATAGCCCGTGAGGTTTGACTTTTGCCGCCGTCGTCAGATGAAGATGACGGGACCGGCACGTCCACACTCATCCCCCTTGACGACGGCGCGGGCCCCGACTACGGCGCCATCGAGGTCGTCCAGTGCCTCATCGAGCACCACAACGCCGTGTTCACGGACGCGAACGAGACGGTCTGGAGATGATGCTTTGCCGCATTCCCCCTTCTGAGAGCAAACCCGGAGGGGGTCTGACTTTTCCGATGTTAACCATATTTGGCGGCGAACGCGTGAGAATGGAAACAGAGGTACTTTCACCCCCCGCCACCCTCGCACGCTATTCTTATTTTAACCTCGCCTCACGTATGACCGATTGATCATACGCTATGGGAGCCGTACAGGGGAGGCTTTGTAGAATGCTTGTTCATTGCTCACGTATAACATAAATGACATTTAACCTGGCTATAGTTTTCCGATGTTGGTGACTTAAATCAGGAACCAAAATACAGAGTTTTCTCATCTTAGATATATATGGGGTTGGGATGCTAATCTCCCATTTTCAATAGATTTTCATGAGTCTGCCTAGTTTGCATACTTACCATTAATTTTATAATATCAGTGGCTTAATGGACGAACCAGCACAAGAGATTTTCATAATTCTAGCAACAGACTGTATTTTTCTTTGACAAATACGCCAGCAGCCATTGACCTTTTCCCAGAATTATCTGAACCCCTCTGAGATAATAAATCATTTTTATGCAGTTCCAAATGGGAAGCAAATCTTTATATCTTATTGGTGAAACCGAATACTTGAAACTCGACAGACCCTTTGTTTTCTTCTTTCTTCTTCTTGTTATTCTGTGAAATAACTGAGATGAATGAATTTTTGGCAATAAGAAAAGAGCTTTCCATTTTTTTCGTTTTACTGATCATAAAAAATAATGTTTGTCATCTTCTGGTTGGTACAAAAATAGTTTCATCTTGCTATTACATAGTATGAGAAGTATTATTCAATTCTCATAGGAATGGCTCTCCGTCGTGTACTGTATGACAAATTTAATCTTTTGCTACCCTAAGAGGTAAATTTGAAGATATTATCTTGAGTTGGGGTCTGGTTCATGTAGCCTCTAACAATAGATTGCAATATCCCATATTAGTGACCTGTTCAAGGAATTAACAAAGGATTTCGTGTGTGTTTTGTGGCCCTATTCAAGAAGGTCAACACCCAAATGAGGATCATTTTTTGGGATAAGAGTGCATGCAAGTATCCTAATTTCAGTAGATTATCATGAATCAATCTGAGTCCACTAGCTTACTAAGACTTTTGACATTAAAGCACAATGATTTTAATAACATTTGTGACCTAGTTAAGAAACTAACTTGGAAAGTTCTTAATGTTTTGCTACCTTAAAGAGTCAGTGCCAAGACTCTTAAGAATCTCACATGTGTGAAGTAGATGCATTAGAAGGCAATTTTTCTCTTTACTCCACATAACATGGTATCAAAGTAGGGTTAGGGTTTCTCTCCAAGCCATGTCCGGCTTTGCCTGAAGCTCACCAGCGCTCCAACCCTGAAGACAGTAAGAAATCCACCACTGTCCCTTATTCTTTCCTTCTCTCCAATCCATCTCCGGCTTTATGTTAAGGTTGTTAGCCCGCTAGTCCATGTTATATCTCATCAGTGCCTCATGCCCGTTGGGGAAGCTGCACTGCTCCTCATCTACCGAAGGAACCCTTACCACTCTTAAGTCTTAAACTCAGGGCCCGAGGTTGTTGGCACAATGCAAGATGATCCAACAATTTGGGGGTGAATTCCTCATAGAGGAAGTTGTAGGTCAAAGCTCTTCAGTAGAGTATCTTTCCACCATCAAAAGTCTTCTTCTTGCCAAAGATAACCAAAGCTCTAGTGATGGGCCGAAAATACTTGATTTCTATCAGTATCGATCTACATTCAATAGTCCATTCAAATATAACTACCATTTTCACACATTTTTTCAAGCATTATATTACCTTTTAAATGACGTATAGAATCTGCAGGTTCCATAATTTAAATGATGTCTAACGTATATGATTCATTGAGTAATTATTTTATACATTATTCAAATAATCTAGGTTTAATTCTTACATCACAGCAGCTTGTAGGAAATAATTATGATTTGTGGAGTCGAGCCATGATTATTACTTTATTTTTAAAAAAGAAATTTGAGTTTATTAATGGTTCAATATCCAAACCCACCCATAAAAATCTCACCTTTTTTCCTTCTTGGATTTGAATAATAATATAATTATTACTTACTATTTGAATTATATTTCTTAAAAAGTATCAATTTGTACTTTTTTTTTCAGATTATGCATAAGAAATTTGGGAGGACCTTCAATATAGATTTCAACAAAGTAATGGTTCCATACTCTTTCAATTACCTCATGAAATATTTAATCACCAAAAAAATCAAGACTATGCCACAACTTATTTCACCAAGTTGAAAGTTATTTGAAAAGAAATAAATAATTTTTTGATTCAAGATTTAAATTACAACATATTGTTGGTAAGAATAACATATCCGAAAATATTTAGGTTTTGGATGTAGACAATGTTTTCCTTCATTCATTGCAAAATGATTGACCTTCACACATGATGACAATCAAATTATTACATCTCTTAATAATGTCTTTATTTGTACATAACTCAATAATAAGTCTTCATTATCATAAGTTAATAGTTAGTTAATAATATATTTTATATCTGAATTCATGATATATAAGTTTATATTTGTCTTAACTTGATAAAAATATATATTTTTAACTAATATAAATTTATAATTAATCATGTGATTTTATATAATTTGATATTTATATTTTCAACTAAAAATAAAATAAAAAATATTAAAAAGAGAGAGAATCCATTTAACTTGCCAACAATCAACAATCAACTTAGAGGGCACTACACTCGAGTGGATAGACCTAGACTAGGCAGAAGCACAAGCTGGGCTCTAATGAATAATGTCCCATAGACATGTGTGCATCACTCTTCTTCCATAGACACATGCATGGGGCAAGATATGATCTTGTCACACATGTGTTGTGCTTGGGCAGACCACTTGGTGTAGCCTTCTATTGAGGTGATCTTGATGACTTTGTTTATGAAACAAGGAACTCATGTCCACAAGAGCACCCAGACTTATATGGATTTAAAACTTATTGAAACACTTGATGTGAGACCAAATTACAAACAATACTCATCAACCAAAATAATGTCGAAAATATCTCTATTTTAAGAGAAAGTCACGAATTTGTTTGTTCACTAATTTAAAGGTATAATCAGTATTTTCTTACCTTCACTTATGTTGCCAAGTGATCAAAGGAGGTTTGAAGCCCATTGATGTCATAATTTATTTTTTCTTCTATTTTGACTTTGTAGTTTTTCTATAGAAAAATAGTTAATGAAAAGAGTCACTAGAGATGATTGATCAATGATGAAATCTTCATCAGTAATAATTAACGATTGTTGTTAGCAACTAACCAAAGATTTCAGATAAAAAAATGAGAACTTTGAGACAAAATCATATATCTTGTTGTCGATGAATAAAGTGTCCTCAAGGGATCCACCAAGAGACCATCATGGTTTCTTCAGTATTCTATTTGCAAAAAAAGCCTCCTCATGTTATATAGACTTGAGGATGAAACTACTTGAGACATGTTGAACCTCCATCAATATCAATTGCACTAAGTGACAGCTATTAAAGCTCCATTTTCATAATCTTCTACTCTACCAAGTGATAGCTACTAAATACACTTCACTAACACTATTCTTCACCCTTATGACTTTGCACAAAAATTTAGAGAGTGCTACACGTTGCATGTCCAAGGAGAGCCTTTGAGGCAATAGACATCTCTTGAATATTTTTCGAACATACAAAAATTCCAACAATCATCATTGTGATGCCGAAACTTTTTTCCTTTTTAAAAAATTATTTCATCTTTAAATTTAATGATAGTTTTGCTTGAATTTAAGTTTTAAAGTTCATCTTTAGTTCATTACAATTCATTTAACACTTAAAATTCATTTATTGAATTGTCTACAATTATTTGCATAATAGTTGTAAGGTGGAACTCTATTTTTACTCAAATCACTATTATTTGGACATTGACATCTGCCTAATATCAGCATCTGGTTTTTCTTTTTCTCTAATTTTAAAAAGATTTTTGTATAATATTTTAGTCTAAAAAATCATGTAAGATTTTATTCTTTAAGACAAATTTTAAAATTTTGTATGACATTATCATACATCCATATTATCTATCAACTTACAAAATTTTCACTATTTTTAGAGCTCTTTCTCGATTTAAAATTAATACATTTCTACATAAATAATTTTTAAAAATGTAAAAATTAATGTTTTCCAGTTTATAAATTTTAAATGTGATTTAATATACAACGACTAGGTCACCTTGCATAACAAATTAAGTCATTTTTCATCCATAGTCTTAGAGATGCTACATTTAAATATTCCTATTATGGTTATCTTTTGATAAAACACAAAGATTAACTTTAATTCTCACAATAATATTTATAAACTGTTGAGATATAGATTTTGGGTTTATGGGCCTGGCCCACTTTCTCTCTCCTCACCCTTATATGTATAGGGCTTCTGCCCTCTTCTTTATTTTATTAAGTTATTTTCTGTCAAAATGGTATCATAACCAAGTTGCTCCGCTAGGGTTTTCTATTGGTGCCATCGTCTCCTCGGCCATCACTCCATCGTCGTCTCCATGGCGACTCTCCAGTAGCCATCTCCTTTGTGTGCAACTCGTCATGCCGCACTCCTACTCAGCGTCGTCAAGCTCTAGCCCACCACTGCACGCAGCCGCATGCAACAACGTCGTGTGCAACCATTGTCGTGCATCGTCGCATGCAGCAGCGCGCCACGCACACCCTTGCCTCTACACGCAGCAGCCTGCGCATGCCGGTGTGCCAACGCACACACCAGCACACCTGCTAGGGCTGGTCAGCATGCCTGACAATGCCTGCCAACGCCCTCCAGCTGGTCAGTGCTCTTCCGGGCTCCTCCATGCCCTAGGACCACCCTAGGGGCCTGTCTGCCCTCTTCTGTTCCCTAGGGCGCACCCCGGGGCATGTCTGCCCTTCTTGGTATCCTAGGGCATCCTAGGTGTACATCTCCAACAGCAGCCTGTCTTTATGTCCGAGGACTCCCCCGTATGTCACTTCTTCACCGATATGTCTCATGACTTGAGGACTTCTGGGACATCTATAAGCGAGGGTATTATTCATGCAGTGCCTACAGTGCATCTGGCTCCTTCATCAAGGGTTGCAATGATAATCACTTGTTGCTTATTGAGTGCCGAGAATTATTGGTAATTGAGTTGTGCTTGTGTTTATCTTGTAGGACATGATCTACTACATCTCATTATAGAGGATCTACTGTGGCACTTTAAAAGTGGAACCGTAATGATCAACATCTATTAGGCTATTTATGGGCCTCCCTAGAGCCTTATGTGCATAATATCGTACATGACTTAGACACATGCGATATGTGTGGGATCATCTCAAATTGATTAAACCAACAATCTCACCTATCAGTATGATGTCCAAGTCGAGTTCTATGAGATATAGAAGAGGCAACATTCAATACTTTAGAACATTTGTTCCAACTGAACAAGAACTTGCATCATTAATGTCACTATCCACCAATCTTACTACAATGTAGTGCTAACAGGATTACTCTAATGTCATCAACTTTTTTGGTAGTCTTTTAGTGAAATATGATGGGTGCATAAAGCCAGTTCTTATCAGAGCCAAAAGTTCTTTCTCTTACTAAGGTTTTTCATCATCTCTCCCCAATGCCTATTAGTTCAGCATCTTTGTCTCCATCACTTGAGTACGTTGTCTTGACTGTCTTTTCTATTGCTCTTTTTGATGGTGGTCACCCCCATGACTTTGGAGATCAGGGATGTAATGGAGGTGCATGTGATGACAAGCTTTGTAAATCCGATCACTGTCTTGAGTGTTCTCATTGCAGTCATAATGACCACAGAGCACTGTTGCTATGCTCTTTATGGGTATCCCTATATTCATGTTGCTACATTGGATTAAGACCATTGCACATCCACCAACTCGACCACCAGCTCCATCCACTCCTCTTGGTTTTGCCTTGACTGAGGAGAAGGTGTAGTGGGTTCTCAAGGAACTTATGGCTGCTCAATAATTATTTCAACAAGTTGCGACTTTGGTTACACCTTCAACTCTGCAATATCTTGGGCTTATTGTCCTTATTTCTTGGCCATCGTTGCAACCATTTATGACTTAGCCATATACTGCTCCAACATCTATATATGTTAACACATTTCAATCATCGGTCTTCGATTCAAGTGCCACCTATCATATCTTTGCTATGTATTCTCATTTCACCTCCTATTGCTCAAATCCTTCTCATCCTTTGTTCAACTCGTTGATGAATTAAAGGTTCTTAGCATTAAGAATTTCTTACCCTTGCCTTATCTTCCATTTACATTTGTTTTACATGTTCTTTAGTCTCCTTTCAACCTTATTTCCATTAGTTTCCTTACCCGCACACATAGTATATCCATTATGTTTCTTCATGAATCTTGTGTTACGTATGACATGAAGATTGAGAACAAGATTAGTAAAAGGGTTAAACGTGGCGGTCTGTATTATTTGTGTCCTCTAGATCCAATGGCTTGTGCTAGTGTCTTTTGACTTCAAATTCATAGTTGGCTTGGGCATGCCTCTTTTTCAAAACTCAAGTATTTATTTCTTAGTTTATCACATTTGTCTATGCTTAAGTGTGCCTCTTGTCAGTTTGAAAAGCACACTAAGAGAGTTTTTACTTCTTGTTTGTGTCTTAGACTTACATCTCTTTTTGAACTTATTCATTCTGACATTTTCACTCCTAATCATATATCCACATAACTTAGTTATAGATATTTTATTATTTTAATTAATAATTATTCACATCTTACATGAGAGTGTATCTAATGAAAGATCGATCTGAGTTGTTTCTCATGTTCAAGCCTTTTGTGTGGAAGTTTGCACATAGTTTGGTACCATCATCTATACTTTTTGCTCAGACAATGCGAATGAGTATTTTAGTCTACCTATGATTACCTTTCTCAAGTAACATGACATTCTCCAATAATTCTATCTGCATACCCTTCAACAAAATAGCATTACTTAACACAAATTTCATCATATTATTGAGATTGCTTGCATCCTTCTTATCGCTACCGATATACCTCTATAATCTTGTAGATATGCCGTCCTTACTACTATCTACCTTAGTAGCTAGATGCCATCTTCCATCCTCTAACATCAATTTTTTTTTCTATCCTCTATATTGGCCACCCTCTCTTTTATTTACCTCCATGCATGTTTGATTGTGTGTTTTTTTCATCAAATTGAACTAGATCTAGATAAGCTTGTGCCTAAGTCTATGAAATATAATCTTCATAAAGGGTACCATTGTTATTCTCCACTGACTCATCGTCATTTTATGTCTGCAAATGTCGCCTTCTTTAAATGATCTCCTTTCTTTGGATTGTCTATAACTACTTCTTCATGCGACTTTAGACCTATCTTGTTGATATTTCCCAAGTCACTTTCTTCATTGGTCTTGCTGTCTTTTACTCTTTATGTGTCACAAGTTTCTCTTTTATCATCCTCAATCTCCCTAACTATTGATCACCCTAGGAAAGGTACCCCATTCTTGTACCAAATATCTTATTTTTAATTTTATTTCTTATTTGATGTGAAGAATATTTTTCTTCTTGACGATCTTGAGGCAAAGGCCTATATGGAGTAACCTCCTAATTTTATTTTGACTGACTCACCAGATTCTATGTGTTATTTACATAAATCTATGGGCTGAAATACTCTCTTCATGCTTGGTTTAGTTGTTTCTACAAGATAATTAAAGATTTTGGTCTTCAATAGAGTTCTTCTAATTGTACCATATTCTATTGTCACATTGTTGTTATGTTATTTTACTTGCCTATGTTGATGATATTATTTTAACAAGTGATGATAGATAGGGTATCTCTAATTTTAAGATCTTTCTTCAGACCAAAGTAATGATCAAAGATTTGAGTCAAATTTTGGTATTTTCTAGGCATTAAGGTTACCTACTCTTTCAAAGACTTGATTATCAACTACCATATGTATGTGCTTGATCTATTACAAGATGTAAGAATGTTGGGTGCTAAATCTATTCCTACACCAATGAATCTAAAGGTCAAATTGGTTCTAGATTCAAGTAATACTCTTGAAGATTTGAGACAATTCTGTCACTTGGTGGATTGACTAAATTATTTGACCTTAACTCGTTCTAACATTTCTTTTGCTAGAAGTGTCGCTAGTCAATTTATGGTCAATTCACACACTACTCACTATGATGTAATCATGAGGATCCTTTAGTATCTAAAGGGACATCTTGGCCAAAGAATTATGTACAAACCTTATTCTTATATGAATGTTCATGGTTATTATGACATAGATTGAGTAGGTTATCCTATTGATTGATGCTCCACCACTAGCTATTGCATCTTTTTGGAGAGGAATCTTATATCTTGGAAGAGCAAGAAGCAATAGTTGATTGTAATGTCCAATATTGAATTAGAATATTAGACTATGTGGACTATTGTATGTGAGCTTATTTAGGTAAGTCACTTTCTTATGGAGCTTGGCCTCTTTCGTCGTCAACTTATGCATCTCTTCTAATCTTGTTTTCTACGAACAGATAAAACATATTGAGTTTGATTGTCAATTTATTCAAAATAAGCTTCAGACTCAATTAATTCTCCTAACTAAGATGTCTTCGAAAATGCAATTTAGTGACATACTTATGAAGGTTCTCCATGATCATCAATGAAATTCCTCTTGTTCCAAGTTTGGAACTTTCTATCTTTACACTCCAACTTGAGGGAGGCTGTCGAGATATATATTTTGGGTTTATGTGCCTTACTTTCTCTCTCCTCACCTCTGTATGTATAGGGCTTCTATCAATTTCTTTATTTTGTTAATTTATTTTTTATCTTCATAAACATTTGATATATTGTGATATATGGAGGTCTTATCATACTATTAGTCACTCAAGTCATCAATATCTTCTTACTATTGTCGATGATTCCACTCAACTTCCTTAATTTTTTCTTATGAAAAATAAATTAGAAGCAAAAAATATTGTTCTAAAATCTTCTATTATGAGTCACTCTCTATTTGACTTTAATTTCTTCATTGAACATGATATTTTATATCAATTTTTTTACATGAACAAACTAATAAGATTATGCAATGAAATATGAATATCAAAATTTATTAATGTTGCTAGAGCTTTGTCATTTACTCTTTTCAGCAACAACAATCCTTCTTAATTACTTAATAGAAATATGATGATTATTTAAGTTTTGAAAGTATTTAGTTATTTAACCTATTTCCACACTATTTTTAAATTCAAATAAAATTTATCTTTGAGTCAACCTGTACATTTTTGTTAGATTTCCTCCTAGTATGAAAGGCTATAGACTTCATGATATTTAGAGTAAACAGATTTTTGTTTCACCAAGTGTATTTTTTCATGAATGTGTGTTTTCCTATCATTTTGTTGTAATTACTGACACTTTATTGGATCCCTCCCAAATCTAGTTTTCCTCATTGTCATAATTGATATTTACTCTTGACTTTCACATCTCTTCATCCATAATCCATTCCACCAATCAGTTCTACCTTTGATATTTAGAGCAAACAGTTTTGTCTCATGAAATGTCATTTTTTATGAACACGTTTCTACATCATTCAATAGCAATTATTGACACTTTATTCTCTTCCCAAATCTAATTTTCTCTATTGTTGCAACCAAAGTTTCAACTACACTTCATACATCTCTTCATCCACAATGCATTTCACTCAATCAATTCTACTATTGAGCTTATAATAATAGAATCTACCTATATTACTAAGCCCCCATGTTAAGAACTTCATTATAGTACCTTGAAACATACTTGTCCTAATTACACAGAAAGTCCATGTCCTTTGTTTGATTTACTATCACACACTTCTCTATCTTCATTTCATAAATATTTTTTCATATGTTTCTTCCAACTATGAACTTTAGTTTTATCATCAACAAGCCACTTTTCCTTATTGGCAAGAGGCAATAAAGGCTGAGTAAGAAGATGTGGAGTCAAACAACAATTGGTCAATTCTTTCTTTGCTAGCAAAAAAGGATTATATTAGATGTTGTTGGATTTACAAGGTCAAGTATCATTTTACTACTCTATTAGATGTTATAATACTCAATTAGTTTCCAAAGGACATATAACAAAGTCTTATTTTTTTCTAAATAGTTTCTTTGATTTCAAACTAAAGTATTTTAAACTCATGATAATCCTTATAACTAAGAACAATTAATACATTTTTCAATAAGATGTCAATCATATTTTTCTCAATACATATTTTTTAGAAACAATTTATATGAATTGACTGGGCATTAGCAATATGGATGTTCATGTGACATTTTGACTAATCATTTATGGGTTGAATTTGGACTTGACACTAACTCTTTTAAGTCTATCCTAAAGAACTACTTAGCTCCACTCAATTGAAGGGATCTTGTTCAAGACTTGGTAGTCTGTACACAATCAAAGGGATTCATCATTCTTTTTCTTGAAAATATCTACTATAATTCTTTGCTCTAGTAGAGATTTAGTTAGCTAGGCCAATGAACGACCTAAGCTTCAAGATGTGAGAAAGTGTTGACCAATCCTCAATTGTCCCATGATTCATTCTCATGTCATCCTGTCCCATGCCATTGCTAAGGAACAACACATTCTCTAATGTGAGTTCCTCCCTAAATCAAAGAGAGAGCTAACAAAAGCTTCAAACACATTAAGGGACTAAAGGGATGGCTCACTCTATTTCAAGCTAGGAGTACAAAAGGAGAGGGGGCTAAATGTTGTACTCACTCATCTCACACTAAGTTATAGTCAAGGTACTTATATGGGAGGCCAAGTTACAATCTTAGTTATTGAACTATTAACTATCTCCTCCATAACTCCATGTGGTCCATAACTCATTGGCATTAATCAAGTCACGGAAATTATGGATATGCCTACAGTTAGTGAGAGTTATATGGTATCTGAAAATGTGTCAGATTTCCTATGACGATTATCCCTTCAGCACACCTTCTCATCCATGTGCCAACTCATGCATGCTCACCATGCATTCTTGGTGCATGTGTTACTCTAATCCATGCCACAACTATGTTGTTACCTTGTCAATGCCACAGTATGTTATATTAGCAGCCACAACTTGTGATGTACACTTTTGTCTACCTCCCATACATTGGTATTCAATGCATGACATATCCCAACACATCACACACCACTTCTAGTGTGATTTCCATGCACCTACATGAAGTAGTGTGCAATTGGGCAGTGTCGTGTACCCATATGTTTCGTCATCTCTAATAGCTTTAGCACTTGCTGACCTATCACAAGCTTAAATGGTGATTGATCTATTGTTGAGCTCTAATGTAAGTTATAAGAGAATTCCACCACATCTGACATCTCCACTCAAATCTCTTGTTTTGCTGTCAAAAAATGTTGGAGGTACTCGAATAATTTATTGATTCACTTTGTTTGCCCAACCATCTACAAATAAAACTTGTGGAGAACTTTACTTGAATTCCCTATGCTTGAAGAGGGTGATCTAGTATTTTTTAATGAATCATGTATCTCAATCAGTAATGATGTCTTTTGGAAGACCCTACATCTTCACCACATTGGTAAGGAAGTGTCTAAAATCATTCAAACCATAGTATTTTCAAATTATATAATTTAATTGGATTCACTTAATTAAAATATAATTATTTGTTGCTAAAAAAAGTGTCAATTCTTCATTTGTTTACTACTTACCTATTTTATATCATACTATCTTGACTTTCATTTCTAACTATCAATGTTTTGAAAGTTTTCTTATATACTCAATTTAAAATTAAAGATTTTGACACTTTTCAATATTTTATGAAGTTCAAAATTATACGTCATTGAATACATATCATTTTGTCTCAACACTAGTATACTTCACAATTACTTAAAAATGATCACTTTCTTGGATCTAAACCTACAACTGCAACTCATTCTCACAACTTAAAAACTAAATAGAAGAGATTGGTTAATGTATTATTTTATTTGACTATCACACTTCTTGAAATCATTTTTGTGGTACATAAGTTAGCATCCCCATCTAATAGTAGTACATCATATACTTTGATATCTCAAGTTAACTCTTGGTCAAAGACTACTATTCCCTACGTAATACTCTTTACAAATATGAAAATTTTCAAATGTAGATTAGGCTACCTATATTATTCTTAAAATCAGTCACAAGGGTTTACATTTTTCTTGGAGACTCATTGATATCTTGGGAGATAAAAAAGAAATTAATAATATTCAAGTCATCCATTGAAGATGAATAGTATGTATTAGTTGCTACTACATTATAAATTTTCTAGTTATAATAATAAATGTAAAACTTTTGCACCAAGGTACCTCTCCTAACATTTTTATTGTGACAACCAAGCTGCTATTCATATTTTTGTGGCATATGGACCTCCAATTGTGTTTCCTTACATCAATATGGGACTCCTCTCTAGGTACTCATTACCTCAACCTGATCCAACTTAAGGTGGGAAAGTACTTTTTAAATCATCTTTTTAATTTTGGGTCTCATAGTAAGTGTGCCCTGATTATAAGGGTGTGTTATTTATACAAGCATGAAGAGCATGGTGTTTTCATATATAAAGATACCTTCACTTAGAGGGAACTTCCTCCATGTATGCATCCCATATAATCAATATGATCCACCATGAAGAACATGTTGTCTTCAAATATTAAAGACAATGTTTATAATTATTTCAAAAAAATACCCTTGTGCATAGGGGGTTTGTAGACCAAACTATTTTCAAGCTTCTCTTCAAGTCGAGGTCAGTCAATAAGTGTGTGCATAAATTATCAAATACTATTATTTACAAAAATACTGTAATAATAATCTTTTGTAAAGATATCCTCACATAGGTAGACTTAGTCACGTTGTCTCTCTCTTTCTCTAGAAACTATAAGGCAGTGGTAACAATGAAGAAGACATGGGGAGTATATTTGCATTTGAGAGCATAGTGAAGAGGGGCCCGTAAAATTATCCTCTCATTATAGAAATACTCATTTTATGAGCATAATTCTCACGCACTACTAAGCCTATGCTCCTCATCATTTGCCTTCATGCTCATCCATGTCCTAGGAATCAATATCCGTAGGAGCTCAACATGAGTTAACAATATCTCTGAACTACTTCATAGGTGGCCTCATAATGAAGTTGATTTTTTATTCCATTGAAAAATTAAAAAAAAATACCAAGATCATTAGAATAGGCTCATCTTGATTAGGAAAATGTAGCCATATTGCGCTAAAAGTTGAATGGATTTAAGAAATAAGATCATCATTTGGTTTGATTAGACTTAGATCAATCTACCCAGTATGAAGTAATCTTGAAATAGTTTTGTTTTCCATGCAATAAGGTCCAATAAGATTGGTTGTGAGTAAGGCGACCAGATCTGCAAATGAGAATAAAGGGGCATCTTAAAATTGTGATTAGATACTTGACTTTGCATCAAAATTCGGTATAAAGGCAAGCTGTGCCCCACTCCTTGGACCACCCATGTCTTGGTGAATTCCCCTTCTTGGAGCCATCCTCAATTCACATCATTGTAAGACCAAGCGAAATGAATTATGAAAGCCTAATTTTGGGACTAGGGTTTCCTCATTTGGCTTGAAGTTAATTAGGTCTGATCCCAGGGCCAGGCGGTGGGTCAAATCCATCATTTTCCTAACGGATGACTTCATCACATGCCCATGACATCAGCTCAGGATTGGGCTTCATGCAAGCAGTGGGAAGTCCCCACGTCCAATGAATTATTGAGACTATAACTTGATCCTCCTGATTCATTAGATGCATCTGCCTCTTTTCCTACCTTCCCTCCCTTGTCTCATTTTTTATCAATAAATTAAAACCATATTATAACAAAACTAAACTAGGAGAGAAGCTCGAAAAATGGGCCCAGCACAAACAGGGTTTAGAGTTCAGGGTTTATGACTTGGGCTTAGGGTTGCAGTCTGTGAGAGCTGTAGATACGATGGAAAGTCATTTGTACGACAAAGACAAAAATTACCAGGGGCTTATTCATTAAGTGATATATAAAAAAAACCATAGGCCGCTCACCACTACCACCAGAGATGCAAAGCCGATGAAGTTGACAATTCCTCTCCTGGTTGTTCACTCATCAGTATTCATGTTCCCTGAAGCACCAGCCGCCTCATCTGATGAAAGGGCTGGTGGAGAAAATTAAGGAAGAAGATGAGTGGACTGATGTTAAGAGGGCAATTGTTTAGGGATAAGTACCTTCACCATCGGCAGGTGCATAAGCTGATCTTCTCACACGTGTCTGCTGGTAAGGGGTTGGCTGGGCAAGAACACACAAACCATGACTACTATCATATAAGGTAGAATCTAGTAAAATGGGGGGAACATGTAGGTAGAATTAAGTAAAACAAGGGGGAATATTGCTACAATTATTAAGCATTATATACACATCAGGGGATATTACTGCCTTTAGAAAGTATGATATACACATCGTAACTACTAGAAATACACATCGTAACTACGAGAATTTCATGGTAGAATGTACTAAAACAAAGGAAAAATTATTGCCTTAGTCAGCTTTATAGACACATTATTTCTACGACCACAGGTGGAATTTACTAAAGATAAGGGGGAATAATGCGACAGTTAGTAAGCATAATGCATTTCATGAATGTCATATATATACTGAATTTTTAAAAAATGTTTTTTTCCGGCAATTTAGCAGGTATCATATACCATGGCTACCACAGATATATGTGATGGCCACAACGGAGCGTTCCTGCATAAAAGTGCAGATGGGCTGGGTCTTGTGAAGCTCATTGGGAATCAATGGGAGAGGTGTGGATGGAGGAGGGGGATAATGGGGCACTTGACAGGGAGGAGAATCAAATCCAGAGCAAAGACAGGAGAAGGAAAATACCTGTAATTTTGGCCGCAATGCCTCAAGAGGTCCTTTGGGTTTCCCCACAGGTGCTCCTTGCTGGTTTGGTCCAAAGGTTAGAGGGCAATGTAATGAAAGAAGGTTCAAGAGAGAAATTAAATTTTGTACCTTTCCCAACGCCCAATCAGCAGAATCAAAGAAAGCACGCTCATGGTCCTGAATGAACACAAATGTTGATATGAGAAATGTGGACTATATACAAAAACATTTGATGGCTTTCGAAATTTTGAAGCCTGGCCCAATGTTTTTAGGCTTGGGCCGTAAAACCTAATCCAGGAGGAAAATAGGGTGGAATAGTTCTTGTCTAGGCTGGGTTCCAGTTTCAATGGTCAGACCGGGAAGCCTGCAACCCAGTTTTCTTGGCATATGGCTGTTCCACAATCATCTCTCTCTCTCTCTCTCTCTCTCTCTCTCTCTCTCTCTCTCTCTCTCTCTCTCTCTCTCTCAGTTCAAAACTCTACAAATTTTGAGAATAACAAGGTCGTGAAGTGTTAACCAAAGAGCTCCAGAAAATTGGGCTGAAATAGGTAAATGCCTTCCGAGGACAATCAGAAAATTCGTGGTACTAACTTGTAAAGTTTCATAAAGTTTTCTAGAGAGTTAATCACAGAAAATGAAATAAAAAAAGAGATCTTTCAGCTCTCCGGGTGAAATTTTGAAAGAAGCTTCTAAAATGAATGTATCTTGAAATGTTGAATAGAATGTTAAAACCTTTGAGATAAGTGGTGGCTTTTTGGGTAGCAATCCTCCATACTTCTTCTTGATTGCTTTCTCCTGAAAAAGAGGCAGTTCTAATGATAAGAATTCTCTACACTGATATCAACTGTTCAGTCGAAATTCACGGAGTGATATTTTCTGTTTTGGGTGGGAGACTGGAAGAATGAAGAGTAGCTGAGTCTACAGGCCAGAGGTGCCTCGAATATAAACCTGGCTTAAGCTTTCCATGAGAAACAATCCTGGAAAGAGAAAATAGGCCCGCCCAGACCATAACCATCCCACTGACACCCCTAGTTAAGAGTACCTCCTCTTGGAACGATGGCATTGAGTTCACTTTATTATGTTCCACATGCTCTAAGTTTTGCTCAGCTCGCACACTTTCTAGGCACTCTAGATCATTGCCATTGGTACCCTTTGTGCCAGTCATAATGTGCTTCGATAAATCTGCACAAAAGTAAACAAACGCAGTAGCTAGTCCATGATTCGAGCGAAATGGAAAATCTCTCAACAGGTATGTTCCACTGCAATCAAAATGGTACATGGAATTATCAAGGTATTCATATAAAGTCTACAGAAAAAGGAAAAAAACATTTCCTCCGAGTTGCAAAAAGTTATCTCTCAATGGTCATGATAAAGAGGGACAAAGCTTTTCTTGCAATGTGTATGTCTCCTGATCATTCAGATAGCCATCCAATCTCGCTTCCTCCCCCTCCCTTGCACTTTCTGTCATTTCCATGAGGGCCACACTAGGTACATGAGCTTTATGGAGTCCAACCAATAATAATTTTCATACTTTTCTCCACAGCGATCTAAACCCATATCAAGACAATTGAGTTCAATTATTTAAAATGAAAATATAAATAAAAAATAATATATAAATTGGATACTTATCCAGAAGAATACATAAAAAGGGGAAAGGAAAGGAACACAAATGTAGCAGGTACTTACCCACCTAGACCAACAACAACAAGATTGGCTGTAGCCAAACAAGTTCCATAGGTGCATAGTTGGAGAATACAAAGAAAAATATGATCATAACCAGAACTAGTCCAATCAGAAGGTCAAGATTAATGAAATAGTTGTATTCATTACTGTTTGGCTTTTCTATTCAATGTCCAAGCAAGTGAGGACTTGACGAATGGGGTACTGTTGTATCAGATACTGTTTGATTTTTCTGTTCCATTTCCAAGTTTGTCGGAAGGCCTTAACTAGTGAACGGTTTTTTAGGTGAAAGTGAAGGGAAAAAAGGGGACCCTAATTTCATTGAAATCATCACAATCTTGAGCAACGGAACTCCCTAAGAAATATTCGCTCTTAGGTATTTTCTGTTTACCGCTATCATTGACCATAAAAACCCGAACAGGTAAGAAAACAGAAAGGCTATCTCAGGCCTTCGATTGTAGAGGTGACGACTATCCATTCTTGGAGGGTCTGGCACTTATTCCGGCCCTCTATTTACATAGCGAAGAAAGGTTCTCCCTCGAATGCGTGACATGCGATTCGTACTACCGAAGTCGCTAACCAGCAGGCAATAGAGTCAGCTTACAGGGTGGGACGCAAGCAAGCATAGCGAATCACATAGAGTTGCCCCTACCTGCCGGTGCGCCAGATAGATAGGGCGCCTCTAAAGAAGATCTATTCCCTGAAAGCTAAGATCAATTGCTCGAGCTAGCTGTAGTCATTTACAGATTATTTCTGACTATGGACTTAAAAGAGGCTTCCATTGGGAGCACTGTAGTAAGTAGACTAAGAAAGCAATTAAAAATAATAGTATACAAAGTATCTGAGACATCAACTATTCTGGAAACTATCTTAGTGAAACACCCAAATGGGTTTCCTCAGCTACTTGGCAGCACGTTTCCCCTCAATAGAATAAAGTAAAGATTGCTCGGCAACTCAGATAATTAATTGGTTATGGGAGTTTATCAATCAGTTTTTAAGAGATGACAGAAACATAATGTAGCCCCACATCAGATATCTATGAGCAGTGCGATGCAACTTAAATCACGTGATGACCACATCACAAAAGAAAAAATACAAAGGATCTAAAATTAAGCAGCTGTGATGCTGGGCTGTGAGCTTCATCTGATGAAAATAACAGAGACTATACTTTTAATCCCACCAAGTATCTCACTGTGGCGTAAACATTTTATAATATGACATCAAGAATAAACCCAACTATCCCACTGATGGTTGGGTGAACCCGTGATTATCACGGGTGATTTGTGTACCTAAAAAAGAATTTAGAGACACTAAACTAGCAGTCTAACATGACCCGTGATCACAAAAAGTTAAAAGCACAGGGCCTATCATAATATTAAGGAAAACATATCAAGGTAAAGTATGAATTTATACAGCATAAAATGGATCTTGATCTACCAAATTTTGGACAGTGAAAATGCATCTGACTAAGACATTGGATAAGATATCAATAAAAAATTACTTACAGGCAATGGATAAGATTGAAATCAGTATCGGCCTAAAAGTCCAGCCAGAATGGTTTAAATAGATACAAAATGCAAAGAGGTCAAGTTGCCGATAAGTTCAACAAGACAACAGGGGGTCCTAGTTTAAAGGAGGATATAGTCCAGCGTGGAAAGGGAGACCAATGGACAGTGAAAATGCAGATCAAACAGGAAGAAGACTGATTGAAGTCCAACATAAATTTTAGTCACGTTAAGAAATGGAGAAGAAAAGAAAGGCCAGATAAACCACAAAACTCCAACGAAAAATCAGAAACCTCACTATCGGAGATCAGGCCTCTTCACCGAGTTCATCATCCAATCCAGCCTCATCTCCGTCCGATTTACTGCCTAATCAGAGGCGGAGCGAAGCACAAGCGGACCCCGACAGATCCTACCGAAGAGAAGTACAAAAGGTGGAAAACGGAGGCGGGAACCATGGATTCATTACCCCTTTCTGCGTCGGCGAAGCTTCGGGAAAGAAAGGAGATCGCCCAACGAGGGTGCCAGAGGGGAGTGGGCCGAACGGCCAACATGCACCACAACCCACATCCTTTTTGTCAGAAAAAAGGATAGAGAGAGAGAGGGAGAGAGCGGCGACGACGGTTCGGGTATCCAAGAGTCGCTATGTGTCGATCTTTGATTGTTCCACGTCAAAAGTTCTCCTGCACATTCCAGATACTTTCTGTTCCCAGATATCACGACGAATCCGACGCTTAAACTCCTCTGATCGGACGGCGGTCATTCGATTGAGCCGGGCACGACGGGGATAAAGTCACAGCCCGCGAACCGTGCTTGTAATGGGCCCAGAGAAGAGCTTACCAGATGGACCTCGGGCCGGGCCCATTCAAAGCCCAGACCCACGCACCTTTCTTTTATTTATACCTAAAATGGGAAAAAAGTCGGCCCAACTACCAACGGGGTAGCTCAATGAACCGCACACGTGACAATCTGGACTCCGATCTATGATCGAGATCAACACCCCAATCCACGGTCAGGATTAGATCATTTTGTTCCCAATTGAGACTTGGATCCATGGCATTGGATGGTTAGCTCCCCCTAAATAGAATAAGTGATTTGATTCAACCAATTCAGGATCAAATTGGCTCCCAGTTGAACGAGCCATGGGTCCGAGCATTTTAGGGTTCCATGGGTTCCATCGTGGCTCATGACCGACCCCTTTTATTTACACATATGTCCACAGCCTAATCAAGAATGGTGACAAAGTGAATATAGGTAGGGAGTTTTTTAAAATATTCGAATTTATTATAGAAAGGAAACTATTGGATGCATGTTATCATAAAAGTGCATTTTATTCTTAGATTGAACGAAAATGAGGAATCTGTACGGGTTGGAATTAAAAAAAACATAAGAAATGTCTATAAAAAGGTACTTGAGAAGATGAATTAGAGATCGAGTTCTTGGACAATTCATTGTTATTTCTAAAATCAGCAAAAGTATGAGCTTTTTTGGGGATGCAAGGAATTCACAGGGGTAAATTACTAAAAATCCCACTAGAATTGCCTAAGTGATACCTTAGAGATGACTCCACAAAAGTCTTTGAAATTCATTAAAAAAAATTCCAGTTCAAGGAGTTTGGTCTAGCACAAAAACTACGAAAATCCATGGGAAATGTCCACAAATCAGTGATAATTCCCAAAAAAAAAAACTTAGAGACCTAGTTTATTAGAAATTTCATTCTTATTCCTAAATTTGGCAAAAAAAAATGAATTTTTAGCCAATACAAGGAATTAATAGGAGTCAAAATCTAAACAATTCATCAGAAATTATCCGAAAAAAATACCAGGCAAGCCAGTATTTCAAACACAGGGCAAATCAGCATATATCAGGAGACCAGATTCAAAGGAAGATCATTGCAAGAACACTGTAAAAGATCCACAGTTGAGAAATCCTAACCGGACCTCTGTTTCTTCTTTCCACCGCTAGAACAACTCTCTATTTCTCAACTTGGCTCTTCATGGAGCAACAACAAGGTTGCCAATTTAGGCAGTTTACAGCATCTGAGTTGAGCCACTTCACACACTCCACCAGCCGGAGGGACTGAGCTTGTGGCACAAGGAGCAGTGGTCTCCTGCCGAGAGTCTCTGGCTCCAGTGATGAGAGGGTGGGGGGCGATCCTCTGTAGGCCCCAGCCGGCACGGTGGTGCACCCAAAGAGGAGAGGGGGTGGCAGGCAACCTATGTGCCATCAGCCTCGCTTGATTTCTTGTACTCCGGCTTGAGCTCATGGGTACCCTGATTGGGGCCCCTCTTGTTGTAGACGCAGAGGTCATTCAGTATTTCCTTCAGGAATTGCTGAGAGAGAGAGAGAGAGAGAGAGAGAGAGATCAAAATTATGAATGCACACAATGCTCATAGTCAACACTATAAGCCAGAGTGAGTTAGTGAGAGAGAGAGACGGACACAGACACAGAAAGAGATCAAAACTATGCACGCATATAATGATCATGGTTAACAAGATACTCATGTACATCAACCAGTGAGAGAGGGAGGGGACGAGAGACAGAAAGAGAGAGAGTTGAACAATATGAAATTATAAAGGGGATATAGCAACAGGGAGTATTTTACCCTAAAAAGGAAAAAGATAAATAAGAGAATTTTTCGAAAATAGATGATGAAAATAAGTGATGGAAGAAGAGCATACTTCAGGCTGATCTGTCTCTATGACCAGTTGCTTCAGTGCCCAGTTGGGCTGCTTTTCAAAGAGCTTGAAGATGATATTCTCCAGCTCCCGACGGTCCCTCCTTGTTCTTTTAACCTCAGACCCCTTTGCAGGGGTTATCTTCTTCTTGTCCTGATGCAAAGACGGCACAGGATTCCTCCGAAATCAGGAACTATTTAAAAGCATTTACAAGACATAAATATTTTAATGGAATACTGAAGCTGATTACCTTCGAATTGGATGGAATTAAACCAACCATACCAGGCATTGGTCTCATGAGCACTCCACGATCATTATCAATTACCTGAATAAGTGCAAAAAAATATTCCAGATTTCTATAAATATTTTCTTTTTACAATGAAAATAAACAAACGGAAATGTGATGGGCCAAAATTATGGGAATTCTTTTGAACCATTAATTTTCCTTTTAAATTTGTGAAAAAAGATGAATCTTATGGTTAAAAGTGATATAAATATAATTTTTTTTAGAAAGAAGATAAGTAATCGTAAATGTGATGGTTGAAATTATGAGAATTTATTTTAAAAGTAATCAAAAAAATTGTCAAGAAAGATGAATTTTATGGTCTGAAGTGACATTAGGACTGGTGAGTGAGGGAGAAGAAGCATGTCGATGATGGCAGGTAAAACTTTCTATAAATCAAAACCTGGATCTGTCTGGTTTTAATCATAGCCTTGTTTGTCCTCTCGCGGCAAAGCTTTCTATAATCCCCAATAGTGTCGCCATGGGGTTCCATGTCAAACTTATGCTCTACCTTTCCTTCCACCATAAACTTGCCTGAAATGAGGAAATTAATGCTCCAGCTGCTTAGAACACCCACCAATATGAGACGATTCAGAAATCTATATAAGATGCCATCACACCTAAAATCATTGCATCTCCATTCGGATCCAACAAAAACCTAAAGTGCGAAAGATAGAACTCAAGAGACTACTTATATATATAGAGAGAGAGAGATCCATGAACATAGGCAAATGGGTTCAACTGAATGCTGTCTGCAGACAGTGTTTGGCCAGATGCAAACTGTGCATCTGGCCACGAAAGATGAATTAAAATACACTAAAAATTTGTTAAACAATAAAAAACCTTGAAATTAAAATTAATGTATGAAAGAATAAAATGCATACACAATATATCTTAAATCAGGTAATGTATATGAGAAAATTTTAAAGGCTCCAGTTAAACCTGTTCAAGATCAACTCGAAAGATTTCCTAGAAATTGATCTGCAAATAATGAATGAGATTAATGTTTGAAAAAATTACTAGATATCAAACTAAGGTGGGAGTGGGCGATGGCAATTGGGTCTGCATCATGGAGTGTATTCCCCATAATAGCGGTATTTACTCAGGATTGAGGCCCATTGATGACAAAGCCACGGCAATTTATCAAGGTGGAAGAAGGTGGAGAGAAAAACCCTGAGAGGAATAAGAGACATAGTGTTCCTAAAAGCTACATAGCGTTCCTCTCTCTGACTTCATCAGAGTCTCCATAACCGCTCTCTTATCAACACAGAAACAGTTATCCTGATCAGACATGCTCAGTCGTCTTCTTTTATGCTGCAATATTTTCTGAGAACTGTAGTAATGAAAGGCAGCTGATGCCAAAGATTCCTCTGGGTTCCTTTTCTTAAGGATACAGCCAGCATGTAGCTCAAGTTTCTTGCAACTCTTACCAGTGCACATAAACAGATAAAACTGAGGTGACTTGCCTAATGAAAATCTTAACTACGAAATAACCAGGGAAGAAGAAGATCACCACCAAAAAAAAAGAACAGACCGAGAGAAATACATAACCTAGAAGGGAGGTAAGAAAAGCAAGACGTCCAAGTATGATGAAGAGCGAAAATGGTAGATGACCTTCTTGATCTGTTTAGAAGAATGAAAAGGAGAGTATACCAATTAAAAAATTGTTAAAATACTGATGCCAGTAATCCTCACCTTGATTTGATTCCGAAAAGACACACATAGGAACAAAGTCTTTGAACATATTCAGTGAATAACTCTTCGGGGTATTGCCACTTTCGCTGTGAGCCAATTCCATTTTAAACTGCAATAGCATAGAAATCCAAGTAGATTGATTGGCATGATGAAGATCAGTAACACAAGCATTGCTTGAGAAACAAATAATACAGAAAAGGGCCATCAATGATAGGGAACCCCTTACACAGAACGTTTTTAGAGCAAAACTATGATTATTGTGGTAATGTAGTCCCCCCATTGACGATATTTCTGAGCAAGCTTTAAATCTTCTTTACGAGTCTTCAAAGACTCGTTAATTTTTATGTATGAATCTAGGAAAAGTTCTGTTTTTCCGCTTAAAACTATCCCATGATAACCGTTTCATCTTTATTTCTTTTTTTAAAGGTGGGGTGACCATACAACAAATTCCTACTCAACTCTGTAAAATGATGTGCAAAAGAAAAGCACACTGAGCAACTAAATGGAAAAAAACATCACACGAAGCAGAGGATCAATCAAGATAAAAGGAACGTTAGCAACTAGATGGTAATAAAGATCATACGAAATAATCTCAGTAGCAGCATTCAGGATGCATCTATATGGTGGTAAAGAGACACAATCCTGACATGTAGAAAGTGTTCCCACAAAATATGTCGACAGGGTTGAGAGAGAGAGAGAGAGAGAGGCATGCAGAACCCTAGACTAAATCCCAGAAAACGTTGCTCCATCAATGCATTACGATTTTAAGGAAACTTCGAAAAGATCTCTGTTCAGGAAGCAGCGGATATGGTGTCCAGCCTCGGATAAACGCCAACTTGTAGAACTCATACTATCAATCCAACCATTGTTGGCTTACATGGGGGTTGAATTCGATGACGAAGAAGATTAAGATAAGATGAAGAACAACAACACAATTTAAACAGTCAATGCCCAGAAAAAACACTTTCTGAAATTAGGGTTCTAATCTCTGGAACAATGGGGTGGCGTCAGAATGTTAGTTTGAAAGCAGTACGTAAATAACACCCTAGACAAAAGATCCTTTCTGAGAAATAAGATGACCTACTAGAGTACGAACCTCCATAATTTAAAATTGCCTACGGGTAAACTAGCATTAAATTTAGAAATTGAAAAATAGATTGAAACCACACCGTCTTTTCCCTCAGTATTTACAAAAGTGACGTGGCTCTATTGACCATTCTATCTCTCAACCAAGGGAATGGAATTCATTCATGGAGAATTCATCCATACGCCTAGCTTGGAACATTATTTACCAATAAATATTGGATGCTTCGGATCAATTAGGATAGATGGATTCCGGGGTACAAGAAAAAATTCGAAAATGCTTCGAGCTCATCAGCAGACATAATATTGGAATCATCCCACGCCTTTCTACAGGGGTGTTATTATTCATTGGCGAGCCGCAAAAATCAAAGATATCTGGGTAAAAGAAATTGCATCAAGCAGACAGAAGTGTCCACTCCCATTTCACGTTTTGGGGATGTAGAGAACTCACCGATCTGATTATCGGTGGTTTCGACAGATAACTCGTATTCCCTCATAATCCCACTGGACATCATCGAAAGAAGCAAGGCCAAACCAAATAACAACCGTAAGGATCACTGGGGCAATCAATTTCACCAGCTCTCATCATGAGAATTTTACATGACGGCAGTGCGAGGGAGAGTACACATGGAAATGAACCGATTGATTGACAGCACGCGTACTGGAGAAGCAGAGAAGGCTTACCTGGAGCTGGGAATTGCCATCCGGTTTGAGAGGGTCGACGGAGAGGACGACCTTTGCGACGATGGGATTGGGGACATTAGAATCAGGCGTTCCCGCCCCCGCCGCACCCGCCGAGGCAGCGACCTTCTGCCACGACGTGGAGACGACAGCGGGGCATTTCATCAGCCATACCGATCGGTCCGCCCTAGCCATGTCCAGGACGCCCCCGATTCCCCCTTGCCCGTTGTTCCCGCTGCCGTTCCTCCCATTGCCCCCGTTGGCACCATTGCTGTCGTCGTTCCAAGACGACATCTCTCTCTTTCCCCATTTCCCTCCCCGCTTCTCCCTTTAAATAGGGCCGGGGTTGAGTCGGTAGCAAACGCCGATTAAGAGTACCTAGAGACTAAGAAAATCTTCAGTGTGTGTTTTAATGGAAAAAAGCTTTTTATACCTAAAAAAATAAATTGCCACATAAACCTTATAAGCTCATATAATTATTCCCAAATATAAAGTAAGCAGTTTATAGCCTTGGAAATCATATTCCAATACATGCGTTGACTTATACTCGGAGCACCCTTTAAAATAAAATTACGAAAAAAATACGGTTTTGAACTTTTTATGAGTTTGAAAAAAATCATGACTTTTAGTTTTTTGATATCCCTTTAAGAATAAAAAATAATAATAATTTCCTCTAAAATAAAATTCATATTTATTTAATGACATAGAAATCATAATCTATTTCTTACTTGTACTTGTGGAACCCCTTTTAAGATATATTCGAAATCACATTTTTTTCTATAGAAATAAATAATTATAAATTTACAAGCGCATAAAGCATAATATATCATGATTTTTTTTGGAATCATGAATGTTTATAGCCAGTGCTTCCTTGTTAGAACCCTTCTACATCCAAAGTCAAAGGAAAAATATACCCTTTTTTAATAAAAAGAAAAGCTATAATTTCAGAAATTGCTCCTTATCAGGATCATTTTTTTTACAATAAATTAAGAAAAATAGTATTTCAGTAGGATTTAAGGTTGACAGATTACTCTAATAAATATAAATAAATATTTTGGTGAAGTGAAACAAGAGTGTATACACCATGCCTAAGTCAACGACTTAGCTCACATTGAACTCATAAAAAGATTATAATTATATTAAGTATATTAGCATTCTACACTGTCATCAATTAGTATTGACTTGCAACGTTGAAAAGGGGAACCACGTTTGCATGGGAGGAGAGGGGAGTCAACACCTCCATGAATTCTGGTCCACCTCTTGACGCTTCTTCACAAGAGTGTTCTACCACTATATATTGAGGAGGAGATGGCATGACTAGCAAGCGTTGACTTAGGACAACTTTACTATCTGAGGTATCACAGCCCTTACTCCCGTCCGCCTTAGAGCAGCCCGCCGTTCGTTCCCTCAACTGGGTTTCTAGTTGGGCCCGGGGGAGGCGGTGGTCACTGCCTCCTAGCCCCAGCCTTCTCCAAATCAGGAAGGTCTGTCAGAACAGCAGAGACACGGGTGAGAGAACAACACTACGCTCACTTTTCAGCAAGGAGCGAGAGAGAGAGAGAGAGAGAGAGAGAGAGAGAGAGAGAGAGAGAGAGTCAAATGGTGAGGAAGGAGCTGAGGTGACAACAGAGAAGGCCGACTTACAGAGCAAGCCATTATCATCACTGCTCTCGCCGTCGTCGCCGTTCTCCTGCGCAAGAATCCGAGAAAGGAAGATTAGCAGACCCTTCCATCATCCAAAGCGACGTCCCTCAGAGAAGTTTCATCTTCTGCACAAGCCACCGGCCTCACCTCATATTCATCGTCATCATCACCACAGCCGGCACCCCCTTCATCCTCAGAGTCGGCTGCAGAGAGACAAATCAGGGAAGATCTCAAACGGAGAGGACTGCAGAAAATGGGAACCTCGAATCCTCCCCTGGGCCAAATCCAAAGAGGAAGCTACGTCTCTTGCAGGGTCATTAAGTCAACCAACGACCAAAAGTCAAATGAAAGTCATTTTAAGTAAAAAAAAAAAAAAGAAAGACCACCAAGAATGCTCACACGCAGGCTCTTCCTCATCCTCGTCGCACCACTTATTCCAGTCAACCTTGATGTAGGGAGGGGGCTTCTCTTCCGACCTCAGCAGCCGCTTCCACCAGCTTTTGTTCTCCTTTTGAATCGAACAGACAATGTTCCTCAGCCCGATCTTCGTCCTACTACCCTAAAAGGAAACATAACAATCAGGACTCCGTGTAGAAATATGACTAAAATATTCGTCTAGTCAAGCCCACAAGTGATGAGAGTCAGCCTAGATTCTCTTAACTGCAAAGAAAGACCGCAAGATTCGAAGCAACTGTATGACTTTCTCTGTAAAGTCAAACTACTTCTTTTGGTTTGATTTGAGAATCACCGCTTATATTGCTCAATGGGTAAAGCTACTCCTTTGGTCTTCTTCTCCGGCATACAAGGACAGATGTTGGGAACCCACATTAAATGAATCAAGACGAGATTATGAGAGAATTGCGTATTCAAAGGTGTGCTATCAAGATCTCTTTAGTCTCCTCGACGGGAGGCCTTTGCAGCTGGTTTCCGCATCTCTATGGTTGACCTTCCTCCCCAAGAAAGCTCAGGGAAGATATCTGGTGATGAAAAAGTGGTGAAATCTACAATCCGTCCTTCAAGTCAACGATCAATACCACATATTCCGAAGACATTTCCTAAGAAACGTGCCCATACACGCCCAGTTTCCCACAAGTATGATGTGGGTTGACCGTAAAATTAGCATAATGGGAATGTTTGCGTATTGACACAGCATTTGTGCAGAAAAAGCCTTGAAACCATTGCCAAATGAAACAAGAACTGAGAAAATTATGTTCCTGGAAATGTTCAGGAGTCAACCCTCTCCCCCACAAGAGCCCCGTAATCAGGCAGCTGAAGGTCTCATCTGCCATTAAACAACATGGAGAACGAAACTCCGTAGGCCTGCAAACTAGAGAGCACATTCCTTACGTTTTAGGAGTATGAAGATTGCAGAATACTCTGACAAGATTCAGAGCAGTGGATTCTGCATATACAAATTCTGTAAAACATATGCATGAGCTATATTAAACTGATTAACCCACCTGTATATTCGACAAACAGAGAAAAACAAATACCAGGAAAAAATGGTAATTGAACATAAATTTCAAAGTCAAACATGCAAATAATCCCACGATAAAATAAAGTCAAAGGCATATTAACCACCCATTGGTCTGTCGACGCTAAGAAAAACTCGAATAATTCTGGCATCCCCAATGTCAGAAGACAGTTCAGTTAGGTACGAAAGGAAAATGTGGGAACAGGTTGCAGAAGAAGAAACAAGGATGGGGATTCTTGAAAAAACCAGCAGGGTAAAATACGACGAATGAGGAAGATGATATGGTCTACCGCATGCTCCATCGTTCTACAAGCAAAGAACTTGCTTGTCCGAGAGAGAAGGTCCTTCAATCCATAATCCTCTTCAAGGAAATTTTCAATAAGATGTAAGCGATATTGTATTATCTATAAGGTGACATCTTAATATCATAAGCCTGGCCAGGCTGAAACCTCTGCCAGTCTTTCTCAGGCTTAGGCTCAAAACCAAGTCAACCACATCTCATAATATAGGCTGGGACCAGGGTTGACCATGTCTGGCACAGAAGATTGGATGGGAAATCCCACGCACGCACGCACACACACACACACGAGTGGCAACCTGCCATATCCCTCAAGTGGATCGACATGGGCTGGGTAATATAACGAAACCCCGGGACAAAGAACATTTCCACGCATTTCTCTGGGAACTTGCTTCATAGTGCTTGGTCCATAGGCACACTTCTAGTTTCGAATATGATACAAGATAAGGAGAATTATGATGGAAAACTGGGTATCGGTTAAAATTACTTATGAGCAATAGGAGGACAATGCTCAATCCGAAACCCAAAAAAAATAAAAATAAATCAGGGTAATTATTGAGGGATTCAAGGGGAAATTTTCTCCCAAAAGAAGTCCTTTCTTGACCTACTCTGCGCCCCAGAAACCATGAAAACCATGATGATCAAAGCTTAGGATCTTGGCGGGCTGTTACCGCAGAGTTGCAGTGAGGATTGATGAAGGTAGCAAGAGGGGTTGCCGACCGAGGGCAATCGAAGAACCCATTCGTTGAAGTCTAAAAAGGAACAGAGACATGTAGATGACTGCAGGTGATTCGTCAAAACCGTAAACGAAGTCTATCCTCAGAGAGATCATTGACTGTCTTCGAGGCTTGCAAGACAGTGAAAGATGGATGACAAGAAGACTAGCAAGAGAAAGCCTTGATCTGGCAAGCTGGTTAGTGAAACACAGATAACCATACCATTCACATTTGGATGAAAAAATCGTCATGATGGAGACAAAGGAGGAGATGAACCATGAGTGGAAGGTCAGCGACTCACTTCTGGGTTGATGGTTCCGTACAGCTTGAGATGAACCTGGAAGGAAACCATCTGAGCCCCTATGGCGGTGAAGGTGAACACTCCTTCTGGTTCGCACTTCACTGCGACGTCCTTCGCATCAGGCAGGCCGATGGTCAAGTAGACCCTGTCAGATCGTTGAGCCCAGAGGACTTCCGGGTGGCGGCTGGAAGATCACGCAACCGAAAACAATAAAGACATCGTCCTATGCGGAGAACAAGGAATCAAATTAATGGAACTTCCATTCTCTCGTCATCTACTCTTGCCCGCGCCGACGAACAGGAGGGGGAACAGAGTCCAGGACGAGACACAAAGACGGAGAAGGGAAAGACGGAAGGGAAGGATGGAAGAGCGTCGTCTTCACCTCATTCTCAACGATCCCTCCTGATAGAACCTCGTTGCCTGGAGGAGGAGAACCCCAGAAGAACGCCTTCAAGATCCTCTGACGAAGGTGGGAGAGCAGGCGGGGGAGGGAGGTTGCGAGGGAATCGAGCGGGAAGAAGAGGAAAGTTTGTGAAAAGAAAAAGTATGGACGGAATAAGTACTCCACCCTCTCATTCGCCACCGAAGCCGCCACTGCCGCCGCCACTGCCGCCGCCGCCGCCACCGCCGCCGCCGTCAACACCCACCGCGTCTCACTCGACGGTGCGCGAGGTAGCAGCGTAGACAGGAGCATAGAAGGTCTGTTCAGTTGCTCCGTTTCTTTCCGGTTGGCGTTTGGCACTGATTCTCGGAGAAGCCGATTCTTTCGAGAATCACTAAATACTACCATTACAGATTAAATATAGATGTAAAAATTAATTTTCGTTTAAATCTCACCCAATATTTTTTATTTTAATAAATTGTCTAGTTTGCATTTTAATGAATCCCAGCAACATCGTAGACATGATAAAACTCAAAACCATTTCTTATTGAAGAAATTATTGACTAGATTTCAATGGAATACTGAAATGTGAATTTTTATAAGAAACCAATTTAAAAAATGATAGGTTATTGTCTCCCCATGAACGACTATTATTATTATTATTATTAGAATCACTATATTTAAAAATATTTATCTACACAAATATCCTCCAATCTTTCTAACATTAGATCCATAGTGAGAGCTTTATTGAAGGATTATCAAAAATCTCATTATAATTAGACTTTAGAGTATCTTCAAAGGAAAATATAATTAGACTAGTATATGTGATTACTAGTTCCCAAAATTAATGACTAAAAATATCAAACAACAATTATGTTGCTTATAAAATTCCAAGGATTATGGATTTTGCAATAAAATATGATAAATAAATATGCATCCTATACTATTTCTTCTTAACGTCAACAACTAACAACTTCAATATTCTTGATTTCAGAAGCCTAATATTTTTTGCATTTATTTGAATTCATCAAAGCTCTAAGTTATTTTTTGATAAACCCACATCTTTTTTATGATATTATGATTATTTTGAAATACACTCTTGTAAACCACACAAACTTTTTTCTAGTAATAGCTATATGTCCCCAATAAGTTAGTTGAATGATTAATTTTAAAAAAGATGTATGGGAAATATTATTTCTTTTTGGAAAATCAATATTTTGAATGTGCTGCTTCGTAAGTTTGTCTTTATTTCTAAATTTTATGAATTAAGCTCCCAATTTAATTTCAAAATTCACTTTGACATAAACAAACACAAGCAACACCATATTCAAATCGTTATTTCTTTATTTAAGAACATCATTTCAATATTTCATATGTACTTCTGAAGTATGTCACTTTCTAGATGGTGGCTGACTAATTGTTCACATATTTCGATTTTGCATCATGATTTATAATTTTCTATTATTTTTAAAATATTAATATATGATTAATATGCCGATGTTGGATTGAGATTTACCAATTTCTTTTATCATGTTACTTGAGATTTTGGATTCATGAACTCATCAAAAATAGGTTCAACTTGCTCCACAAACAGGTTGATACTCAATCCATATGTTTCTGATGTCACGCCATTTAGAGAAACAATTAAGGAGATCAGCGTGGACTTGCCAAAGTCATGGACTTGCCATTAAATAAACCACGTTGGTTCATTCTTTTGCAAAATATATGTCTGGTTTCAGCTTAAAATATTTGACCATTAGATTGGATATAGAAAAATCCAAGTTCTGTTTCTACTTTGGTGAATGATATAAGATATCCAGCCAAGTTTATTGGCCAAACATACAGGATAAGACTAAGGAATTATATATATATATATATATATATATCTCTGTGTAGTAATCAGGCAGAATTTAATACCCACCCAAAAATTTCCACCGCTTGTGGAAGGTTAGCCCTGGGAACTGATGACAAACTTGAAGAATCACATTTAGATGCTTTACACCCGATCATTCTGGGTAACGCTCAGTCGTGGTTGACTTTACTTCAGTTCCTCTCTCTACCATAAAACAGCGCTCCATGGTTTGCCAAAGGGACCCAGTAAATGGATGAGTAGGAGGATGAAGAGTCCCTCCCCCTGATGAGAGATGGGTGAGAAAATGAAAGCTCCCGTCTCCTCTAAGGCGTAGAGTACAGGACGAGAGTTCATAATTAAATTCGCCAATGGGTTTGTTCGCCAATGTTTCTTGATATTCATCGTTTTTCTTTCTTAGACAAATGTTTTTATCAGAATAATCTCATAACTAATTTATAGAAAACAAGATCAAAATAATGAATGGCGACGGTGGACTGGTTTTATCTGCGGAAACACCCGCGGAATTCCCGTCGCCGGCATCTCGTGCTTCGCCGATTAGACAGTACGTGAATCCATGCACGTGTGCACCCACCGAAGCCGGAGGCCAGCTCGCCGATTTGCCGATGGAGGTGATGTCGCGGCGGCCGTCGTCGTTTAGCTCGTCGCAGTCCCTATTATCCACCGCCTGACCGGTGCGCAGAACGAACTCCCCCCTGAAGAAGTCGCCGGTGAATCGTAGCCGCGCGCCCACCCCCTGCGGAATTACTCGCCTATACCGCCATCCCGGTTCCTCTCCCATCCCCGGGCCCCCAGTGTCTGCGCGTGTGAGAGATGGAAATAGATTACGGGGGCGAGAGAGAGACCCTGGGAGCGGCCTTCGGCCCCCGAGTGAGAGGGGAAGGTGTCACGTCTGTCAACTCTTGGTCACGTAGGGATTAGGGAACGCTGCTAGAAGGGCTCGGGCGAGCTCTCCCGGCGACACGAGGCACGGGGAAAGACAGCCACTTTTGATTGCGTGGATTTCGACCTCCGGCCACATCACTCAGTCATCTTCAACCCCTACCCAGAGAAAGCGAAGTTAAGCATGGAGGGAAGAAATCTAGAGAGAGAGAGAGAGAGAGGGAGGGAGGGAGAGAGGGAGAGAGGGAGAGAGGGAGAGAGGGAGAGAGGGAGAGAGAGAGATGCGCCAAGACATTGAGTCCATACAGTGTCTCACAGTCATGGCGGGGGTTGTGTTCCATGTGAAGGGATCAGAGTTCTTCTGTTCTCGTCAGGGGTTCCCCTATCCCTCCCTCTTCAGTTCGTCCACAATCAAAAGGGGAAACCATAGGGTTTCCAATCCAGAGGGGCCGACCAAGAGAGTCCCTTCGATCACAAGGGATCTGCAGATCATGATTTTCATGGGATCCTGCCCAGGGCCTCTCTCTCTCTCTCTATCTCCTCCTTCAAGCCGAGGAAGAAAGGAAAGAGAGTGAAAACACTACAGCCACCAAATCCGACATGCTGCCATCACTCACAGCTTTGGAGTGAAGCTCATGATGCGCGCCGAGAAAGAATTGGATGGGATCCTTAACTGCTCCCCAGAGAGAGAGAGAGAGAGCAAGAGAGAAGCGAGAGAGCGAGAGGCTACGATTTCTAGGCGCGTTAATGCATCCAAGATGACTCACCAGCTGCGCTTTCCTTACGATTAGGGCCTTTTGTAGATGACAAAAGGATCATCATTCCCTTTTTCTTCCAGAGAGGGATGAAGAGGGTGGTGTGGGGTAGGGCCCTATGGTTTGTACGCCTGGGGGAATCCTTGTGTAGGTCATAAAGAGGGCTGTGGCTTGCTGCCATGGTCCCCCAACCCTTGCTACCCCTCAGACAATTCTAATGGGGACGAGGTCACGTGGTCATCTGACTCCATCCTCTGTCTCTCTCTCTCTCGCTCTTTCAGACACAAAACCTTCCTGAATCGTCATCATCATCATCATCAACAGCGACGACGAGATCCCCTTCCCCTCCACCCCGAACTTCCCCAAGAATCAATCCTCGGGGCTCAGAAACTTGGGCCTCTCTCTCTCTCTCTCTCTCCCTCTCCCTCTCCCTCCCTCTATCGATCTCTCTGGTTCACAGAGACTAAAATGGAAACCTCTCCATTCCTCTCCGGAAGGAGGGAGGCAGCTCCAGGGGCGAAATAATGGGAAGTGGAAGATGAACAGTGGCCGCATATGATTGCCATTAAAACATCCACGGTCCCGTATACGCCCAGCCAAAGAACCTCATGTATTTATATGGATAGAGAGAGAGAAAGGTCCAATTAGTTAATAGTATAGGTGCAATTTACGAAGACGGAAGTATCTTATCTTCGTCTCTGGCCTTCTGAGATTGAGCTCAGCAATCAGCAGGTGGGGCCGAAGAAGGAGACAAGGGTTTGATGGTGACCTGCCCAGTTGTTGAGGGCGGTGGCTCGCACGAGGCCTCCATCTTCCTCTGCCCTACCGGAGCCCCCACCTTCTTCCCTTCCCTCCCCTTTCGCGAGCTCCCCTCTGCTTGTCCCCTTCCTCCACATTTCCCCTGCATGTGCCTGCGAGCTGCGCCCTATCGACTCTCTCCTGTCCCACCATCTCCGTCCCTCTCTCTCTCTCTCTCTCTCTCTCTCTCTCTCTCTCTCTCTCTCTCTCTCGCTTTATATCAAGGCTGGGGAGCTAGAATGCACAGTCGGGTGAGAACAGGAATGAATGAATGAGAACAGGAAGGATGCCGCGTCCGGATGCATGCCTACGAAGGCGGGAGTCGCGCTGGTCGTGTCTTGCACTGTTCCTACTTTTGGAGGCTGCCCCCTCATGAGAGGTGGCCCTAACATCAATTGCGTCGGAGGAGAGAGAAAGGGAGAATTTCACTGTTTCCTTCTGTTCTCTGCCATTGAAAAATCAACTGGTTATAAGATCGGGAGTAGACCCCTCCACAGATTCGTCTACGAAGATGAGGCGCGTCCTCATACGTATAATCCACCAAGCGCCCATCTGGTTTACCTGAGAGAAAGAGAGAGAGAGAGTGATAGGTGGGAGTCAAGTCATGGGGACAGGAGGACATCCAAGGGAAACCTGCACAGGGAAGAGGGACGGACAGGAGAGGGAGTGAGATCACATCACACAGTGGAGTGAGAGGGATGGAGGGCTGTCATGTCGAGATGAGGTGAGGTGAGGCGCGCACAGACGCAGCGGGACTTGTGGCATTTTAATTAGTGGTTTGCGTATCTCCGGCACGTGCGGCTCCCGGCACTCTCTCTCTCTCTCTCTCTCTATCTATCCCTCTCGTTGTCCGTCTACTCACCGGCGTCTCTCAGCTCAGAGAGCCGCCGTTCTGGCCTGAACAGACTCTAATGGACCTCAGTCACCATGAATAAGGTGACGGTAGGCTTTGACAAGATGAGAGAGAGAGAAATCTGGAGAGAGAAAGAGAAGCCCAGACCTCTGATACTTTCGATTTCTACCGAGGACGCCAGTTCCTGCTCCTCGACTAACGTAGTTATCCTTAGTTCTGGGATCTTTTAGTTTAACGGCGCCAGTGGTCTTGTGAGGAGCCAAGAGGGAGTTTGTTGGCATAGGGATTTGGGTACTTCGCTCCAGCCTCGTCCCTCCATCTATTCTCGTGTTTGCGTAAAGAGGGCTGGAATCGGAAAAGCTTCAAATTTGGAGAGCACTAGAAGAGAGAGAAATAGAGGGAGGGAAGGGAGTCAACTCGAACCCCCCCGGGATGGGCGAGCTCAGGGCTCGAGAAAAATAGAGACAGGGAGAGACGTACACAATTATTGAGAGCGGCAGAATCATTCGTGTCTCCTCCCATTAATCAACTCTATAGTTTATTTGCACTATCCGCCCTCCCTCTCTCTCTCTCTATACCTCGCACTAGCACGCCAGGGACGATACCTCCGCCGGAGAAGCTCCTCCGTGAAGAGCGGCGAGGAATAAGAAAAGTTGGGTTCTTTTTCATTCTTTATCATAAAAGGTCAATGTACGTCAACGGCGAGGAGGGAGGGCTGCGGTGTCGGAGTCCGGGATCGGCACGGCTTCCTATCCCGCCTCCGGCCGTGGTAGCCGTCCTCGCCGGGATTTCGGGCCGGCGGGGTCAAGTATTAACTACGCATACAATAATGGTAAATAACTGGCTCTCCAGTACTCTAACTAGAAGAGCTAGCCGGAGTAATACGAGGTGACCCCAATGGAGAAAGAGAAAGTCATGAGAGAGAAGAGAGAGAGAGAGGTCTGTTCGGGCACTCAGTGCCTACTTGAGTGATCTGAAATCCACACGCGATAGCACACAGAAGAATGACAACTGCGACGACGAAGACATACCCACGTCTTTCTCTCTCTACTGTCCATTAAATTCATGCTTTCTCCCAGTTTTCATCCTCAGTTCGCCACGAGACGAGCGGGAAGAAGAAGACGATGCACAGAACTGCCTGTCAAGTCCTCCGTCTTCTCTACGTAATCCTCGGTATCCTCTTTCTTCTTTTAGACGATTCCTTCCCCTTCCCATCACCGTCTGCACCTCCCCCCTTTTTCTCTCCCCCTCCTCCCAGCTCTCTGCTGTCTCTTCTTCCCCTCTCTTTCTCTCTCTCTCGCTCTAAATGACTCTCTCACTAGAATTTTCATGACGCTGCAACATGTGTAGAAGGTGACGTATAAGCGCACATCTATCTATCAGTGTGTATTTATTTACTGAACGTAGACTAACAAATCAACGTGGAGCCCCTCGTCGCGATAAAGGCGACACGGAGAGGCCCCGGGCGGCGGCGATTAGAGCAGCGGTTTTTACGGTACAAGGACGGACGGCGGCAGGCGGACGGGGCCAACGCGGCGGCGGACGCTGGCCATCCGATCCCCTCGCAACGGTAGATCGAGGACTAGGGGATATGATGGTAAACGGTAATCAGCTACCGGTAAACCTGGGCGTTGTCGTCACCTGTGTAATCGTATTTCTCTATTAAAGATTTTGTGCTAGATATCTTTGCACTGAACACTTTTGAAGTCATATTATCATGTTTAGACTGCATAAAGTTTACTATTTGCGTATATAAACATAAATGCCTGCTGATAAATCTCTCCTACTTGCAGGAATATTTAAAAAATCTAAGATTATAGGTTTTGGGGGGGACAAACGGATTTAAGGAACTTAAGGGCGTCGATGTAGATGTGAGTTTCTAGTGGGTAAAATTCAAAATTCGAATGAAGCGCACGAGAGAGAGAGAGAGAGAGGCGTATTTGGCTCGGGAAGTAAAAGAGAGGTATGTTTGACTCGGGAATTCGGAGAGAGAAGTAATTACTTTGGGTGAGAAAGTTGGAGAGAGAACGGTAGTCGGCTTAGAGATGAGTGACGAAGAATCTGGGGGGTCGAAAGGGTGATATGGGTCGTGGTGCATTAAATTGAGCTGCGGAGGAGGGGAAGGAGCAGCGAAAGGTAGAGAGAGCAGGAGAGGAGCGGTGTAGGAAGACCTGCGCAAAGACACTCTTTCTTTCTTACACCTCTCCACGGCGGCGGCGAAGTACTGCTCTACTTCCCTCTTAATTGCCTCTTCTCCCCTCCCTCTGGTCGCCGGGTCATAGAAATGAGCTAGAGAGAGGAAGAGCAGATCTCCAGGCGAGAAGCGAGTCAGAGAGGAAAGAGAGACAGCGGATTTATGTAGGTTTGTATAAATAGAGAGACAGCGAGAAGGATTTCGAGGAGAAAAGGAGGGAGTAGAAGCTGCTCCTCCCTGCTGCCGCTGTCGCTGCTACGGCTGTTGCTGTTTCCGCCGCTTGGCCTCTGTAGCTTCTTAGGTTACTGGCGAGCGAACAAGAGCGGGAGAGAGAGAGAGAGAGAAAGAGAGTGTGTGTTTGTGAGAAAGAGAGAGAGATAGTGGCAGAGACATAAATGTTAGTGTAATGGTATATTATCAACATGTATCATTACCGAAAGGGGAAGAAAAATCCGACGCCGACGTGGGTGTGTAGACAAAAGAGGGAAACAAAGGAGAGGCAGAAGAAGGGAAGTGGCAGCGGGAAGAGAGAGGCTGCAGGCCAAAGAGGGAGCAAAGAGGAGAAGAGCAAGAGGTGGTAGGGGTTCTCCTTCCTCCTCCCCCTCCTTCCTTGACCTCTCTCTTCTTGCTTTTACTGAAGGATTCCGCGTGTTCGCCTATTCCGTCGAAAAGCGACATCAAGAGAGTGAAAACCTTGTCTCTTGTCGTTCTTTCAAACCCTAATCCTTGAATTCTCTGTAAAGGAGAGATGTGCGGGAAGGGTTAAGAGAGGGCATAGTCTTTCTTGTCATGGATCTTCGATTGGCTGAGAGGAGGAAGAGGCAATGGCGGGATTCTCTCTAGGAGGCGGTGGGGGCAGCGCCCATAACCAGGCTCCGGGAGACCAGATCCCGACAGATAATCTCTTCCTCTACACCAGCGGTGGCGGCGGGGCAAGACACGCTCAAGAGATTCCCTCCTACACCAAGGGCTTCGAGCTATGGCAGCACCACCACCAGCAGCTCCAGCAGCAGCAGCGGCCGCAGCACCACCACCTCTATGCCCCGGGGCTGGGTATGATGCTGGACGATCCGGCGGGGGCGGTAGCGGGAAGCAGTGGCGGCGGATCTTCACGGGGCGCGAAGACAGGAAGCGGCGGCGGCATGAGCTGCCAGGACTGTGGAAACCAGGCGAAGAAGGACTGCGAGCACATGCGGTGTCGCACTTGCTGCAAGAGCCGTGGCTTCCAGTGCCCCACTCACGTCAAGAGCACCTGGGTCCCCGCCGCTAAGCGCCGGGAGCGCCAGCAGCAACTCGCTGCCGCCATGCAACATCAGCAGCAACTCGTCGTCCGCGGCAGCGGCAGCGGCAGCGGCGGCGAGCATTCCAAGCGACCCAGAGAGATGGGCGGCGGCCTTGCCTGCACCCGCATCCCGGCTACCATGGCCACCACCTCTACCACCTCTGGTATGTGAAACATTGTCCGCATCTTTCCGTTTTGAAGCATGAACTCGAAATCAATCATTAGATCACAAACTGCAGTCCGGTCATATTCATCATAGGAATGATTCTGTATTGGAAAGCAGATCGCCTCGCAGTGCACTCAGGAGCGCGATGTTAAAACGAACTCGTCGTATATGAGACCGAAAAACTATGTGAAATGATGAGAGATTGGAACCATGGACACTTTTTCTCTATCTATGTCTTCATTTCTACTGATAAATTCCTACAATAATGGTTCCCCAGGAGGGCTTGAGGCGGTTATGACCTTCCCGCCTGAGGTTAGCTCGCCGGCGGTATTCCGCTGCGTGAGAGTCTCAGCGGTCGACGAGGCGGAGGACCAGTACGCCTACCAGACCGCGGTCAGCATCGCCGGGCACGTCTTCAAGGGTATCCTCTATGACCAAGGACCCGACTCTCACTACTCTCACCCAGGCGACGAGTCCTCTTCCTCCGCTGTCGCTGCCGCCGCCATCACCACAACCGGCGCTGCAGCCACCAGCATCACCACGGCCGTTGCTGCCGCCGCGGCGGCCTCTTCAATGCTCGATCCGGCTTCCTTGTACCCGGCTCCGCTTAGCGCCTTCATGGCGGGTACGCATTTCTTTTCTCATCCGAGACCCTAGAGGACGTCGAAGCCTCCATGATCGTTAGAAGAACAACCTTCGCTGCTCAGTGATCTATAGCCATTGAGGATTATTATCGATGGATAGTTGCCGGACGGATGACGGAGATTCATGTGAGTTTTCAGTCTTCTTTATCTTCTGCATTGTTTAGAGGAGACGAGAACAAGAAACGGGTTTCCTTGTTTCAACTCAATCTACATTCATCTAAGTTTTTAGATAGGAACTCAGTTTTACTTTCATCTAAGTATCCAGGGTGTTGTCTCCGATATTTTGGCGCGTTTTATATTATTAAGCGAGAAAAATATCAATTAATTGGTCTATGATTTCGAGCCCTCGTTTCTTCTCCCCGTTCTTCAATTCTTGGGAGTGGAGACAAATAATAGCTAGGCAGTTGCATGGGTTAGGCCCGAGAATTCCAAAAGAACAGTTGGGGGCCGATAGAGCGAGAGAGAGAGAGAGAGAGAGAGAGAGAGAGAGAGAGAGAGAGAGAGGGGGGGGGGACGAGACGGCGGACATTAACGACCAAAGAAGCATTCCCCTATGCCTCTCCCCAGCTCCATTTCTTCCACTTTTGTCTGTTCTCTAGCTCCTCGTGTCATGAACTAGGTGTTTGAAGTATCTCTTCTGATCAGAATTCACGTCTCAGCTGTCGATGGTTCGCTCATGAAACCAAATGAGCTTCGCCTCCTCTCTCAACTGTATACCGAGTAGACGGGCGGATGTGACTCCCTCGTTGGACATATCTCACCTATCCTTCTGCGTAGCGTAGGCTGTTCCTGCCGATTGCTATTATCAGTTGAAATTCTTTCCTACAGAGATTAAAGATTGCTGCTACTAATGGGATTTCTTCTCGATGTCTTCTTCTCTCGTTGAGATAAGTTCAGTCTCGTTTCAATTAGTCTGAGATTCTGATCGGAGCCCGCCGTTCTCATGCAGCGGTCACCTCACCAATCACACCTTCACGACTGTTATTGAATCATGGAGTGACGGGGGGTGGAGGGGGTAGAGGAGAGACCGGAGGTGGCCCTAGGGCATACGCTCTTTCAATAGTACGCATAAAAAAATACTCTCTCTCGCTCTCTCTCTCTCTCTCTCTCTCTCTCTCTCTCTCTCTCTCTCTCTCTTTCTTTCACTGATTCTGTATCTTCCTCGACCTCCTTATAATATCTCGCATTCATCACTGAAAACCGCAGCTCTCGCACACATCAGAGGAAAGACCTTTAGCCGTATTTTATTCCTCAATGCGTCTAGTAACCGTCGACCCATCTCTTTATCTTCTGTCTCTCATTCTAGTTCTCTGTGTGTCGACTCATCTCCGAGTTCTCACATGTTCACCACTGAACCTGGTATGTCACGTATGCGTACAGGAAAAAACCTCCGGTCGTATCATATTCCTCAGCACGTCAAGAGCCTTCGAATCCCCCCTTTTCTCTCATTCTCACTCTATGTTCTCTCTGTATGTCGACATGTCTATGAGTTATCATTCTTTCATCGCCAAAGCTGAAGCGTCTAGTATGCGTACAGAGAAAAGACCACAGCTCGTATTTTATTCTTTTGCACGTCGAATAGCCCCTCAGTGTCTCTCTGTATCTTCTCATCTAACTCTCTGAGTTCTCTCACATTTATCACTGACTCTGGCAGCTCTCATTTGCGTTCAGAGAAAGGACCCTTGTTCGTATTTTATTCCTCAGCAAGTCAAGTAGCCGCTCAATCTCTCTCTCTCTCTCCCCCCCCTCCCCAGCACTGCCGCTCTCATAGTTATCTCACATTCATCTCCGACTGGCACTAATCGTACGCGTACAGAGAAAAGACCCTTGTCGTATTTTATTCCTCAGCACATCACGTAGCCTCTCTCTCTTACTCCCAAGTTCCCTCGCACATCGCTGAGTCTGGTAGCTCCCGTATTCTCAGAAAGTCCCTCAACGTATTTTATTCTTTTCTCTCTCTATACTTTCTATCTCTTCAAGTTCTCTATCACATTCAACACTGAATCTGGCCTCTCGCGCATCTGCGGATTATTTGCCTCGAGCCCTGAGAGAATTGAAGCCGCTTCATACAGACTAGGCATTAATCAGTTGTTCCACTGCAGCCGCCGCCATTAATTTACTCCTGTCTGCTGCGTACCCACATACGAATTAGAACTAAAACATGTCGACGGTCATTCGTTGTTTATAATCCTTGCATTTGTTCGTATGCTTTATAATCATATGGGACTAGAATACGCATTGACGGCGTGTGGGCGGCGCCACCGCACATCAGACAAGCCTGCCGCGACACGGCGGCGGGGCACGGCAGTGTCAGAGGGGAAGGGTGCCCTCCTGTTCCCTTCCTAGTATCCGAAGCCACTCACCTGTTGTTTATTGACTGACCATGGGTGTATTCTTCAAAGACTCTAGCCGTGGCGGTGTTCCCGGCAAACAGTTGAGTTGGGGGGGGGGTGGGGGAGAGAAGGAGACGTTGGGGAATAGTTAGCACAGGGCCCTATCCTAAACTGCCCCCCTTCCCCCCCAAACACTAACCCGAACCCTATTTCCCCCCACCACGCAGAAACCCTTCACGTGCTACGTTCCTAGCTATGCGTAGGTGGGGTGGTGCACTCTAATAGTCAGACAGAAGCCTTATGGTTGGAAAGTTGCACCAGTGGGATGCCCTAATCCACCCCACATTTTTCATCCCTGGTAAAACCCCTCTCCATTCGAAAAAGACCAAGATTCGGAGAGATAGACCTCCCCCCCTCCCCCCCTCCCCCCCCTTCTATCTCTCGTCACTCTCTCTCGGAGCTTTTATCTCATCTTCTTTCTTTCTCCTATCTCTCTCTCTCTATCTCTCTCTCGGAGCTCTTATCTCATTTTCTTTCTTTTCTCCTCTCTCTCGCTTTCTCGCTCTCTCACTCTTAAAACGTCTTAACCTACCTCACAAACACTCTCTCAAGACTCTCTAGCCAACCTCTGTTTCCCTCCCAAATACTCTAGCACACTCTCTCTCACACACAAATTCTCTAAAACATACAACTACTCGCTCTCTTGCTCTCTCCCTGAGCTTCGTTCTGCTTTTCTCTCACTGTGCGGCAATATAGCCAGACGCGACTTTTCTGGCTGCCACCTTCTCGCCAACTCCATGAAAAATCCCGGAGGGTCCCTTTCATCAATGCGGTCGATCTTACCGTTCTCCGACAGACACCATATCCGACGCAGCTCTCATGAACAGCCTCCTCAGGAACTATGCACCCTAAAACTCTCCAGTCACCATCCTCGCCGAAGAAGAGGACCTCTAGTATGTGTCAGATGGCTCGGCATAAGCCATGGACTCTGTGAGTTCCGTCCATCAATAAGCAGAAAGTTGCACTCAATTCGCAGGTCACCTGCGCGTAGAAAGCCAAAATCTTGGATTCGAAGGCAGAAAGGATGAGTTTTTTAAATATATGCTACGAAGTTATAAGCCGAAGGTAAAAACTCTTAGTTCTAATTAAGAAATATAGATTACAGTGTTAAATATCCCCATAAAAATGTGATCAGGTGCGTAATATTATATCTTCCACGGTATGAACATCTTACTTAGTCTGATGGGTATTCCATCGAGCAGACGGTGCGCGCGATGAATCCGCTTACTTTGATGGGCTATATCATTCAATGCTTCTGTTCACGTAGAGGTACACTGGACGTTGCTAGAAGAGCATAGAATCGCTTCTGCTTCTGTGTTCCTCGATTGCTACGAGAATCTTCCAAGATTCTTACTCCATGGTACGTTCGGTAGATTCCCGTCAGGAAAAAAATATTTAAACCACTAATATACCCAAAAGGTAAAGCACGCAGCTTCCCTTTTAGCCGCCTCTAGCATTCTCTTCGCATATAGTTCCACATCTACAATGAAGAAGGGAGAGAAATAGCGGCAAAAAGGTAGAAAAGGTTAGGTGTTCATATCTAATCATAAGTTTTGTACAAAATGGTCAGCCTGACTCCGAATATACAGATCACGAAAGAAACGATTGGCCTAAGATGGGTTACTATAATGACAATCAGCATCAACACACCATTAATTTATGGGTGATTTGAGGGAAGATATAGCTTTAAAAGCTCTAGCTTGCTGTAGTCTCCAAGTGTTGTAACTTCAATGTCTGTAGGAAGCAAACGTACGTGCGCGTGTAGCTATGTACCCCTCAGACTCCCGCATATGCTCGTGTGCACGTGCAAACGAGATATGTGGAATCGATTCCCCTAGACCTTGATCTGTAAAGAAGTTGTCCACTCGCATAGACCAGGAGAGGTCATTTGGCTAGAGAAAGGCACTTCCCCAGTTCTCTTCTCTCACTAGGGCGAAGTTTGAAGTCTTTCAAAGGTAGCCTGATCCGCAAAGATTGATATACAGGAGCAAGCCAGACTTGAAGAGCGAGAACGGGCGAGAGAGAGAGAGAGAGAGAGAGAGAAAGAGGATAAAGTTGGACTTCTTGGTCTCCCTTCAGCCAACTTCGCTTTGTTGCTGCTGTAGCTGGCTGGCGAGAGAAAAGGGCACTAGCCGTCCAAAGGGCCACAGTGGAACGACAGAGGTCAGGATCTCTCTACGTACCCTCCTTGTCCGTGTAATGCCGGCGAGTCATCTGTTTCGACACATTCCGACCCGGCCATCCTCTCGTGTCGCCCTTCTGTCAGTACTTCTATCTACAGTTCCTATGATCATGACTTGGGTCAAAGCCTCTAGGCCCACCCCTCCTCTCTCTCTCACACACATATACACATGAAATCATGGAGCCGCTTTCGAGGAACTTGGAAGGAAATGCGTATGCTTGAACCGCTTTTTTTATCCAACGAAAACATAAAAGCGTCAGATGAGTGACAACAGTATTTAGGACGGGATGTGTGGACTACTAGATTCGTTGATCTTTTATAAGTTAAGAAAATGTGGACATCGGGAAGAATAAAAGAGAAGAATATATTAAAAAAGTGGAGAGTAGAAGGACGCGATTTAAATTTGAAGACTTATTTCTTGATTGGAAGAAGGCTACA